ATACTACTTAATAGAGAAAAGTATATAACTAGTAGCGAATTAAGTCTAGAAAATAATATTAGAGGCGAGATAAGAGCGAAACTCTAGACTAGCTCTAGCGAGATAGAAGATAATAGCTAGTACGCGATAAGAGATTGACGCGAGATATACGTAGATCTATCGAGATAGTTAAAGGTAAAGAGCGCCCGAGTCGAATATAATATACGCGCGTAAGGCGTTCTTAGAGTAGTAGAGAGAGCGGTAGAAAGCGGTACGAAATAAGCCTAGAGAGAGATACTCTTCGGCGACGTAGACGATACTATAGAAGTAGAATAGGCGTAAGCTCTACGCGAGTCTTACGAAGGCGTAAGCGATAATTCTATTCCTAATACGGACTAAGGTAATAGGTCTAGAATCGTAGCTCGCGGCGGTTAGAGTATCGGACGCGATCGCGCTCTATCTATACGGAACGTATACTTAGATCGTACGATACGTCCTACTATACTACCTAAGGTACGAAAGGGTCGAACTACTACTATAGTAGTATAAGATAGCGAGAATAGACGAAATTCTATTACGCCTAGTACTCGCGGCGTATACGGCTTACTAGCTGGTCGCCTTAGGGGTCCTTAAGTAGTTCCGACTTACTAGGCTGCGCAACGGGTTGGGTAGGGCTGGGTTTGGGGCACCTACCGCCCGCCCAGTTGACCCATTAGGGTTTTTAAAAAAAGCGCTACCCTACCCTCGCGGGTTTCGGGTAGGGTAGGGTACCCGACGGGTTTTACTAAGAACCTAAAATTCTTAAAAATAGCGAGATTTTCGCTAAAAATAGCGAATTTTCTTACGTAATCGCTTACTAATTTACAATACCGTACGGTATTTTTAAAGATTTCCTAGTAAAATCGCGTATTTTTCGTAAAATACGGTAATTTTTTCGATAGGTCTACCCGCCCGTTAGGGCGGCCCGGCCCTAATAGGTACCGCGGGTAGGGCTTAGATTTTAGGCACCCGCCCGGGGCGCCCGTTGGGCTACGGGGTGCCTACCCGGCCTAACCCTTAGGGTAGCCCTAACGCGGGTAGGGTCGGGTTGACCCGCGCCACTGCGCAGCCTACGACTTACGAAGGAGATAGAGGAGAAGAAGACCCTACTATACCGTACCCTACGGAATAGTAAAGAGTAGTAACGAGAGAGAGACCTCTTATAATTAATAGAGAGGATTAAGCGAGAATACGAGCGAGACGGAGACGAGTCGTATACTCTACGTACGCGCCTTATAAAGGCGAGATAAGGGTTTTCTCGACGAAGGGTTTTTCCCTGGAAAAGGTGGAAGAGTCTACGTAGTCCTACATAGGAGCTAGATTAGACTATAATTGAATTATTATTATTTAATTAAGAATTCCTAAGCTTCTTCTTTTCTTAGTTCTTTAGATATATAGACTATATATTATAACTCGTATTCGTATTTATATATTATTATTTTATATAGAATAACTTCGTAATATAGTATTTTTATAATAGTATATTCTTTACTATTTTCTAATACTTTAAACTTTAGTATTCTAGATACTTATCGTTATAGATAGTAGAGATTCTATTATAACTATCTATTAGGTCGATCGTAGTCTATCTCTCTTTTATAAGTAGAAACTCTTTAACTAGACTATTCTCTTCTAATACTAACGACTTTCTATTCTTCTTTGTCTTATTATACTTTCTCCTTTAAGAGAACTATCTACTTTCTTCTTTTTTCGAGTAGTAGATAGAGTAATCGTCGATATACTAAATAGACCGTCTATAAAAGAGTAGTATACTTAATAACTTCCTAGTAAGATTTTTCTATAGCCTTATCTATATTCTCGCTTATTTCTCTATTATATAAGTTTCGATCTTCTTCTCTATTAATAATTTCGACCTTAGATTAGTTCTTCTATACTATTATCGGATTCTTATCGACTTAAGACTCTACTTTTATTATACTCTTCGTATAAATTTCTATAAAAGTATCGATCTTTTTCGCTTCTATATCGACTAATTTAGTTATTATATATAGTCTTTAGATCTTAGCGTAATATTCTCTTACTCTATAGCCGAATTTACTATAATTATAGTATAAATTCTTCTTCTTACGTCTCTTTTTCTCTTAGTTTTCTTTAATCGTAAACTTATATCGAGTTTCTTTTAATCTTAAAGATCTAGATTTTATTTCTATAATATCTAAATCTATTAAATTACTATAAAAATAGTTTATTCGACGTTACTCTTCTTCTAAGAAGTAAGCTCTTTTAAACTATTCTTTCTTCTCTAATCGTCTTTTATATAATCGATTATCGATTTCGATCGATTTATCGATAAGCTTCTAATAGTTTAATAGTACTTCTTCTATTCTATTCTTAATTAGATTAACTAGTTCTTAATAATATATCGCTACTAACGTATTAGAGTTTTAAAATACTCTCTTAGCGAGCTATCTAAACTAAGTATAATATTATATCGCTAAATCTCGCTATTTAACTTTATAGAGTATTCTTTTAGTTATAGCTTCTTTATTCGCGACTCTAAAGATTTACTTAATTTTTACTTCGAAATTTACGAAGCTATAAAAGATAATATAGATCTCTTAGTCTAGATTCGAAATATTTTATATTTCTAGATAGTCTATTAAGATAGATTTAAACTAGATAAAGGTAGAGTCTTTAAGATTTAGTACTATAAATATAATCTAGAATTATACGTCGAGATACTTCGATAGATATAATTTAAAGACGGTCTTAAGTTATACTAAGAATATCTTTAGATTAAACTTATCTCTATAGAAGTATTTTATCTTTATATTATTCTTTCTTCTTTCTAGAGTATTATAGATTATTAATCTATCTAAGGATCCACTAAATCTAACTAATTTTATTAGAGATTTAGCGCGAGAGATTACTATACTTACGTCTATCTAAATTCTATTTTTCTATTAGAAGATAGTTAAAGTATTACGAATCGTTCTATAGAGTTACGAGTCTAGTTAGTATTTACTAATATAAGAGAAGATAAGATCTAGTTAAGTATAGATAGAAGAGACGAGTTTTATAAATAATAGTCGAATCGGGAAATATATTATCTAACTTATAACGAAGATTAACTATAAGAGACTATAAACTTAACTATAAAAGATTAACGATTATATAGATATAGAAGACTTATAGTACTCTATTATTCTATTACTCTATTCTAGTATAATAGTATAGTATTATATTCTAGATTACCTCTTTCGGAAGTTACGTACTTCTAGTATATAGATCTTCGGTAATCCTTCCTTATTAGTAGCGCCTAACGAGGTTGTCCGGATTCTATGCGCCTAAGGTTCATGTATGAATCCTGACACTTATCTTATCTAGGTGGAGTATCCGTAATAGTTCCTCTAGCCATTTCTCGTAGAGTTTCTATATTAAGTATACAATTAGGGTAAGTCTAAGAAGGTCGAATAGATTAAATCTAATAATATTTATCTATAAGTTATTCTCCGCTATCTATATTAGGTATTCTCCTCTTCTATATTAGATAGTACGAATAGTCGGTATTAAGAGTCTAAGTAGACTGTAGCTCGATAACGTTAAGGCTAGATACTATATTATAGCGGTAGTAGAATTATAGAAGAATAAGAGATAGAAGAACGATAAGAGGTCTTTAAGCTATTATAAAGAAGGGCTAATCGAATAGAATCGAATAGCTAGATACGATATTAGAGTTATAATAGAAGTTATGATAGTACTAAATCTTTATATATAATAAGAGGTATGTATATAGTAATAGTACGGATTCTTTATTCGTAACTAATTAGTACTAAAGTCAGATCATAAACTTATCTTAGGTTCTTAATCAATACTATCTCTATAGCCTTTAATATATAAGTCGAGAGGTTATTAACTATAATATATTTATTAAAGATATAATCTAAATTTTAAAGTACTATAGTAAATATTAAGCGAACTCTACTTAACTATTTAGAGTTTAGTATATAAGTTAAGAGTTTATATAATAATATAACTTGAACTTGAAAACGAGTAGTAGACGATATAAATTTCTAGTTAACTCTAAGATTAATATTAGGCTGCGCAACGGGTTAGTTAGGGCAGGGTTTCGGGCACCTACCGCCCGCCCAGTTAATCTATTAGGGTTTTTAAAAAGAGCGCTACTCTACCCGCGAGGGTTCCGGGTAGGGTAGGGTACCCGACGGGTTTTACTAAGAACCTAAAAATCTTAAAAATAGCGAGTTTTTTACTAAAGATAGCGACTTTTCTTACGTAATTACTTATTAAGTTATAATATTATATAGTATTTTTTAATATTTTCTAGTAAAATTATATATTTTTCGTAAAATATAATAAATTTTTCGAGAGTCGTACGATACTCGTCCGTTAGGGCGGCTTAACCCTAATAGGTGTCGCGGGTAGAGCTTAGATTTTAGGTACCCGCCCGGGGCGCCCGTTAGGTTACGGGGTATCTACCCGGCCTAACCCTAGGGGTAGCCCTAACGCGGGTAGGGTAGGGCTGACCCGCGCTACTGCGCAGCCGGAAGATTATAATTAGAGATATAATAAGAAAAATTATATATCATAATCTATACTAAGATTTTATAACGAAGTAAAATATAATTATTCGTCGAGGTTATCTAACGCCCTGGGGCGAGGTAGGTGAGGACAGGGTGAACGACGCGCGAGGCCTCACCTCGAAGCACCCACGTGACTAATTTTGAAGCGGCGTGCTGCAGAATCCGCTTTCGCCGATGTTGCCAACGCAAGCGACAATTCTAAGAGCAGTTCGACCATGCCTTGGCAGGGCCTGATGTTTCCGTCAACATCTCTTGTACACAAACCTCCTTAACTGCGACACTCGGCCTACAGCATTGAATACACGCGCACCCCAATATAGTATTTTAATCGCCTTACTCTCACCTCCGTCGCCAGTTCGCGATGCGCCGCCACCATGCCCATGACGCGCCGCGGAACCCATCATCCCATCATTGACTCCCATGGATCCCTTCCGGGTCCGCCTCAACTGCATCGACCATTACCAGGCCGTGCCCCTGGACGAGTTTGACCCGCCCGTTCCCCAAGATGTCGCGACAACCGGAAATGCTGCCAGAGACCGACCTCGAATCTCGGTCATCCGCGTCTTTGGCGCAACCGAGACAGGCCAAAAAGTGTTGATGCACATTCACGGCGCGCTCCAATATACTTACATCGAGTACAGCGGCAGTCTTGTGCGTGAAGATGTGGACGTGGCGATCCGGACACTCCAACTCTCGATCGATCATGCTCTCGCCGTGAGTTACCGCAAGAACATATACGAGGGAAAGCATCGCTATGTGGCGCACATTTCGCTGGTCAAGGGGATTCCCTTCTACGGGTTCCACGTGGGGTATCGGTTCTACCTTAAGATCTACCTCCTCAACCCTCTGCACATGACCAGATTGGCCGATCTGTTGCGCGAAGGGGCGGTCATGAAACGGGTTTTGCAACCGCACGAAAGTCACCTGCAGTATCTTGCGCAGTGGATGTGTGATTACAATCTCTATGGGTGCGGGTATATTGAGTGTGAGAAATTCAAGTTTCGAGGCCCGGTGCCGAGATACCATGAGATGAATAGTCTTTTGCATCAGTGGCACGATCACTCTATTCCTCCGGAGTTTGTGTCCGATGAGGCGGCGCTGCCTAAACAGAGTCATTGCGCCCTCGAGGTCGATGTGCATGTCAAGGATATCCTCAATCGACGCGACGTCCACGCGCGAGAGTTACATCATGATTTCGTTGAACGGACCCATCCTTTGCCCGCCGATGCGAAACTTGTCCAGTCTATGGCCGGCTTGTGGAAGGATGAGACGCGCCGGAGGAAGTTAAGAATGGGTATCAAGGATAATAATAGCAGTCCGTTCCCGCCAGAGGTCTTGGTTTCCATGTCGGCTGACCCAAGGAATACTTCTGCTGGCGGGTGGATTCATGAGGAGGAATTTCGCCAGAAGGTCGAAGAGATCGCCAATGAAGAACGTGTCAAGGGCGGACAATCGAAAGTGTCTTTTGAGACGTTTGTCAAATCCACTGCTTTGGAGGCCAGTGTCCAGACGGCATTGGGGAGTGTCGAGGATCTGTATCCGCATAATATGCGTTCGAAACAGCTTGCCGGAGCGACAGATGGATTGGGGATGACCACGAATGGCGACCAGGACGTCCTTGAACAACAGAGCCTCGTTGATGAAGAGCAGGCGGAGCACATAGCAGACACTTCAGAACCAAGCTTTGGTGATCAACAGGTGTCCGACGATGGTAGTTCTGGTCTGGGCAAAAGCGGTGGCAGTTCAGATCCGGTAAATGGTCAGTCGAACGGGCATTTAATGGCTCCCATCAGCCCTTCGGAATATGAGCAATATGGCATTCGAGCGGCAGGGAACGTTGAACGTCTAGACAGAGACGCTTTCGAAGTACCGGAAGACTATCTGAATCAAGAGCCTGCCTCACCAAACAGGCCCAAGCGTATGAGATTCGCCAGCGTCCCAAGTTTCAAGCCCAGAAAACGGCGCAAACAGCTAGTTGACGATGAGAACGTCCTGCCTGATGTCAGCTTCTCAGGCTCCGATGAGGATCCAGATTTCGTGTCTGACCAGTACGATTCCGAAGCCGGGGCAGAACCGACCGCTGAAGAACTGCGAAGAATTCGATTACCTAGCAGCACGCCCTATCGACCGCCGGCCAGCTCCCAAGCGCCCAGGAGCTTGAACAAGTCTGACGACGAAGGTGCTGCTCCCCCAAATCTATCGCAACAGTCGACGCTGTCTTTTCCCACAGTAAAGAATCCGAATGACCCAAGCACGATCCTTCGGTTGAGCCAAAAGAGCGTCGGTTCTGCTAAATCGTCACAGCCGTCTGATGTCAAGCCACCAATATCCCCGGTTCTGGCCAAGAGTCCGGCTCGAAATGGTAACCATATCTCGTCAAAAGCCTCTCATATCGAACCACAGACTTCTCCGGTGCTACCCAAGACCCCAGGTTCTAAAGGCGTTCAAGATTTGTCGAGGCGATCTGATACCAAATCATCTACCTCTCCGGCACTGCTCAGAACACCGGCTTCAAAAAGTATTCAAACCTCGTCACAGCCCACGCTTGTGCCACCCGCCACCGGCGGCAGCGTCAAGTCCACGAGCCCTGAACTCTTGACGATAAAAGGTCTGCCCTCAGGACGACCTGGAACTCACTGGCAAGCTTTTCAGGCTCGCCCACCAGGTTATCAAGAGGTGGAGAAAAGTTTGGGACAATACGGACTTCCTGACGTGATCTACCAAGACGCATACTACAGCAATGAGAGCGACGTCCCCGAGCAGAGCCGCGAGTATGCAGGGCGCGAGTTCAAGCTTGAAAGCACAACCGTGCCGTATCTGCCAGATTTTGACCCCACTGGCACATCACCAGCCACATTCGGCCGGAAACCGCCGACACTGCTCGACGTGACGGGCGAAGGCATCCGGGAGAACCAGAGACGGAAGCGCTGCCGGATCTCCGAATGGGTGATCTGTGAACCACCTCCACGTAAGGCTGAGGTTTTGAGTTGGCTCGATCAAGAACGTAAACGCCAGCAGCAGCAGCATCAGGCCGGTATAAGTGACCGACAGTCGCGGAAGGTACTTTCCCAGATTGATGGGCCGACGCAAAAGAACAAATATGGATTCAAGTACTCGCAAAAGCAAGTCAGTACCAGCGTGCAGCATGAAACCCAATACATGAGCATCATGACTTTGGAGGTGCACGTCAACACTCGCGGCTCGCTCGCACCCAATCCGGAGGAGGATGCGGTGTCATGTATCTTCTGGTGCTTGCAGACGGATGATGAGGATGTGGAGGCAAACATGACAAAAGGAAGTAAAGAAGGGACGCACATGGGAATCATAGCGGTCGGAGATCAGGCGCATATTGCGAAACGGATCGGCCGGACAGTGCCTTACGACGTGGAAGAAGAGGAGACCGAACTGGACGCTCTTACGCGGTTGGTGGATATTGTGCGACACTACGACCCGGACATTCTGACAGGCTACGAGGTGCACAATAGTTCGTGGGGGTATCTGATCGAACGGGCGCGGGTCAAGTATGATTTGAACTACTGCGACGAGCTGTCGCGGATGAAGGCGCAATCTCACGGGCGGTTTGGCCGCGACGATGACCGCTGGGGGTTCAACCATACATCGACGATTCGAGTCACCGGCCGCCATACGATCAACATCTGGAGAGCCATGAGAGGGGAGCTCAACCTGCTCCAATACACTATGGAGAACGTGGTGTATCATTTGTTACATCAACGGATCCCGCATTACGCCTTTGTTGATCTGACGCGGTGGTATCGGAGCAAGAACCCGCGGAATCTGGCCAAAGTGGTCGAGTACTTTTGCTCGCGGGTCCAGATGGACATTGAGATCTTGGATGCCAACGAGCTGGTTCCTCGGACGAGTGAGCAGGCTCGGTTGCTCGGCGTGGATTGGTTCTCGGTGATCTCGCGCGGATCGCAATTCAAGGTGGAGTCTTTGATGTTTCGTATCGCGAAACCCGAAAACTTCATCTTGGTGTCGCCCAGTCGGCGCCAGGTGGGCGGCCAGAATGCCCTTGAATGCCTGCCGTTGGTGATGGAGCCTCGGAGCGACTTCTACACCAGTCCCCTGTTGGTGCTGGACTTCCAGTCTCTATATCCAAGCGTGATGATCGCGTACAACTACTGCTATTCGACGTTCCTGGGGCGGGTCGTAAGCTGGCGAGGAACCAACAAGATGGGCTTTACTGACTACCGTCGCGAGCCCCGGCTGCTGGAGCTATTGAAGGAGCATATCAACATTGCCCCCAATGGCATCATGTACGCGAAACCGCATATCCGGAAATCACTGCTGGCCAAGATGTTAAGTGAAATTCTCGAGACGCGCGTCATGGTCAAGAGCGGCATGAAGGTCGACAAGGACGACAAGACTCTGCAGCGGCTACTGAACAATCGGCAACTGGCCCTCAAACTCATCGCCAACGTCACGTACGGATATACGTCGGCGTCGTTCTCGGGTCGCATGCCCTGTTCTGAGATTGCCGACAGCATTGTCCAGACAGGGCGGGAGACGCTCGAGAAGGCCATTGCGCTGATTCACTCGGTCGACCGGTGGGGCGCCGAAGTCGTCTACGGCGACACCGACAGTCTGTTTGTGTACTTGAAGGGCCGTACGCGAGACCAGGCGTTCGACATTGGCGAGGAAATCGCTGCGGCAGTGACCAACATGAACCCGCGGCCCGTCAAGCTCAAGTTTGAGAAAGTGTACCATCCGTGCGTGTTACTGGCCAAGAAGCGATACGTCGGGTTCAAGTACGAATCCCGAAATCAAACCGTGCCGGACTTTGACGCCAAGGGGATCGAGACGGTGCGTCGGGATGGCACACCAGCGGAACAGAAGATCGAAGAGACTGCGCTGAAGTTGCTGTTTCGCACAGCCGACCTTAGCCAGGTGAAACGGTTCTTTCAGGCGCAATGCGCAAAGATCATGCGCGGCAATGTCTCAATCCAGGATTTCTGTTTTGCCCGCGAGGTCAAGCTTGGCACGTACAGTGACAAAGGCCCGCCACCGCCGGGCGCCTTGATCAGTGCTCGAAGAATGATGCAAGATCCCCGGCTGGAACCGCAGTATGGCGAACGCGTGCCGTACGTTGTTGTGACTGGCGGGCCGGGAGCCAGGTTGATCGATCGGTGTGTCGCGCCTGAAGTGCTGCTAAATGATCCGCACGCCGAGTTGGATGCCGAGTACTACATCTCGAAGAATATCATTCCACCGCTCGAACGCATTTTCAACCTCGTCGGCGCCAATGTTCGGCAGTGGTACGATGAAATGCCAAAGTATCAGCGTATCAGACGGGTTGAGGGTGTGGTAGACAATCAAAAGAGGGTCACTCTCGAGTCGTACTTGAAGTCGTCGACGTGTTTGGTCTGTCGAGAACTGTTGGATGGTGAAACCAGAGCTAATACTAGTGCTCCTGCGGCAACTTCCTCCTCGTCTTTGGGACTTTTGTGTTCGACATGTCGACGGAATTCGTCAAACAGTATCTTGACGTTGCGGGCGCGGTTGGTCCAAACTGAGCGCAAGGTCGTCCAGCTGGCTAAAGCCTGTCGCTCGTGTTCTGGCCTGGCCTGGAACGAGGAAGTCAAGTGCGACAGTAAGGATTGTCCGGTGTTTTACTCGCGAACACGCCAGAATGTCGCTCTGGCCAACGAGCAGGCTCAGCTGCGTCCGGTGCTGGAGGATTTGGAGAGACAGGATGATTTGGCTGATGGGTTGGATTGGTGAGGCCGGTTGTACGTGGCAACATGGGATCAAGTTGGGTAAGAATACAGATATTTGGGAGGGCAGGATTGCAATGCATTGGGACGGCGAAATGGTACAGGATTCACATTGTCATGATATTGGAAGGATAGAAGGAATACGCATTGCGTTGGGTTTTGCGAGTTCACACATTGAGAGCGCTGCATTGTACAATGCAATGAAGCATGAATTGGAGTTACGTGGTAGGACTGGGTTGGGCTGGTCAACTGGAAAGTTGCATATCGGATGGTTGTACTGTTTATTTAGGAGGACTCGCAACCTGACACCGACTACAAACTGTACATTGATACCTGGATCACGCGCCGAATTGAACATGAACTGTCTGTTCAATCAATTGGATGCCCCGCACACACGCTGCAAGTTGGAGATTACTCAAGTTTCTGTAGAATTATTGACTGGGAGTCAAGGGACACGAACCGAGTTTCTGGAATGCACATGGCACGAGCAGCATTGTTTGTTGACAATCCAGACTTGGAGCCATGTTTTCTTTCCAGCCATGCTTCTCGCTTGGTCGCGCAGTGTACGTGTGTCTGCATTGCTAGCGTTCTTCCTTTGCTATCGAAGTCTCATAACCTACCATCACTCGCAAGACCTCGTCATATGGACCGCAGTATCACTCCCGTGGTACAGATTGAAATTCAAATTAGGAGTGGGACCAGCGGACAGGATCTGGGGCTGTCTTCCACCGTTGGCGTCCCTCTACAACCGCCATTGTAATTGGCAGCGGCCCCCACAGCCACATTCTCACGCCCGGACTGTAAAAAGATAGCGCTGGTCTTCCTGGGGGTTCAATTGGCCGTCGTGGGCACCTGGGCTTTCGCTATCCAGCCGAACGCGTATCCGCCTGATTTCTGTTCGACTCGCTTCGCGCCTACTTCGTCTGCTGGACTCGACTGAAATGGGACCCCTGATCCCTTAACTCGGCCTTGTACCTCGCAGCTCAACGGGCTGGTCTTTCTAGGTCCTCGTGCTTCCTTTGATTTGTATCTTGGTCAACCATTCTCTTGGTCGACTGTTCGTGCTTTTGTTCCCGGCGATTGATCCCCTGGTCGAATGACATGGCCCAAGAGGGATAGTGACAACATGACATGGCTCTCTGAACGGCTGATGTACGCACCATCCGACGAGTCGCACATGTAACATTGGAAGAACAACATTGGATATCTATACAGAGCAGGACGGGTGTCTCTTGGGACCGAGACATAATGCAAGCCTTTGGTTTTGGACTCCGCCAGTCCTCTGCGGAGAGCGTCGACGACAACCGCAGTCGCTATGTTCCCAGTTCCATCTACAGCGGTCCAGGGCCGGTGGACGACTCTCCAGCCATTGGACCCCCTTCTACCTTTGCGGTAGGCTCGTTGCGCGGTCCATTTGACGATCAGCCGACTCCTCGGTTTCCGCAGGTATATATACCCCTTGGGCAGTTCTTTCCGCCTGCCCAGTACTGATGCGCTCGCAGACTAATCGAAACACGAATGCTCCTCGAAATTCGACCGTCTTGAATATCAACGACCCTGTCGCGGTCCATTTGTTGGCCGAGACCGCAATCTCCGATAGTCAAGGATTCGAGATCCTGTCCTTCGAAGAGGTGGAACAGTTGAAGAGGGAGAAACACTATCTTACAAACAAAATCGACACCACGAGACGGAAACTCGCTTTGGAAACCAAGTTGCGCGATGCGGCCCAGTCCTTGAACAGGCTGTATTCGACTCGCGACAAGGCCATTGCCAACGGCACTTCGCCGAAGCGGTCGCGCCGGAGTTTGATTGGAGGCAGACCTAGTTCCGGTGACGACGCAAGCGTGCGGGCCGATAGCGAGTATGCTGCCAGTAATAAAAAAGTTGAGGAATTCACCCAGGAGTTGGCGGGGCTCGAGAAAAGGCTCGAGTATGTAGAAAAGCGAATCTTGGAACACACGGCCGGCGTGCTTCAGATGACGCACAAAGGATTGAAGAAGAACATTCGAAAAACCGAGTTACCCCGGAGTCCGGAAAGCATGACGAGTCAGCCTAATGGTCGCCATTCCGACATTGACGAATTCGATGAACGAAGCCTATACCAGGTCCCGGACTACGTGACCAATTTTGGACAATTACCCGCGGACAGGAATAGAAACAAGAACAGGAAGAGTGATAACCAGATCGTCGAGAGTGTGGCAAGGCAGCTACAAGAACTCAACAACCGGCTCCATTCGATGATTGTCCAAGCCGGTTCGCACGAGCATTTTGACCCGCCCCCTCAGCCAACTGATGAGCATATGGCCGGGCCGATACACGCTCAAATCAATGCATATTTGGGATATCTGTCTCAAGGTTTGGGTGTGGTGGAGGCTGCCCAGACCCGAGGCCACAGCACTGCTCAGCAATCAATATTTGATTCTGAACATCAGCTGGAGGATGTGAACAACCGGTTACATGATATGCTGGAGAGAACAAACTCGGTCAGCCACAGTCCTATGTTGCATCAGGACGAACCTAGGGGGAAGGATCTGCAATCGCAATTGGCATATTCCACCTCTGTTCTAGATCGCCTCAACCAGAGAGTTGAGACCCTGGTGGAACAAAAGGACATCCTGACCAGACAAATACAACAACAACGGGAGCTCAACACAAAGTCTGATGCCCAGCGCGACGCCAAGATCAATGAGCTGACCGAACAACTGGAAGAATCGAAAAGACTTCAGACATTGGGCGAGGAAGAGGCCCAGCACGCCCGCGATCAGATTACTCTTCTGATGGAGCAATTGGATATGGCTAAACAGGCCAACGTCCTTCTGGAACAACAGCGAGGTGTCGACGACAGCAGAGCCTTAGATATGGAGAGAGCGGCGCGGAAAGAACTAGAAGATAAGCTTACGGTAGAGTTGGAGGCCAAACAAGAAGATCTAAGGCGGTTGCAAACCGAGCTGGAAGAACTGCGAACCAAGTCATCGTCCGAAACCCACCAACTTATCGAACAGTTGGCAGAGGTGAAAGCAGCGAAAGCCCAGGCAGAAGCCGAACTCCAGAGCTGTCGAGCAGAACTGGCGCATCTTGAAACAAAGGTTGCCCAACTACAAACCGAGCGAGATGAATCTTCTCAAAGTCTTCGCAAACAAATTGATGATCTGGAAACTGCTAGAGCCACGGCAGAGGCTGAGTTAGCCAAGACCCGTGATGAAATGAAGGAGCTGGAAGCGGATGTTGTCCGTGCTCAGACTGAACTCACAATGGTGAAGGCGGAATTGGACGGTGCTTATGGAACACGCGCCCAACGAGCAGCAGATGTGTCGATGAACCCCGCCATTCAAAAGGAGATCGACGATCTGAATAGGCGAAACAAAGAACTCGAAAGCCAGCTTGATTTCCTCCAGTCTCAGCACGAAACAAAAGGTGTGGGGAGTGCCGAGCTTCAGAACAAGGTGAATGCCTTGCAAAAGGAACTGAAAGAGACCATTGAAGATTACGAGTCTATGACGAAGCAAAGCATCGAAGACGAGAAGGAGCGGGAGCGGCTGGAAGAACAGGTCGATGCTCTTCAACAACGTTGCGAACTACTCGAATCTCAACTCAGCGAAGAAAAGGTCAAATGGCTTGGTGTGAAAGCCGGCTCACCTAACGAGACCACGTCTACCATGGTGCTGAAGAATGAGTTCAAGAAAATGATGCGGGAAACCAGGGCCGAGAATCTCAGGAGTCTCAAGGTAAGAAACTCCGTAACTGCTGTATATGTGATGCAGCAAAGTTGACATTTCGATAGGCTGAACAGGAAGAACGACGGCGTCTCGAATCCTTGATCAAGAGCTTAAAGAAGGATCTTCAGCAAAGTCGCTCGTCTAAGGATATCTCTTCCCCGCAGGCTACTGGTTGAACGAAGCATGATGACTCTATCACTGTGTCTTCTGTAGCGTGCACAGCTTACTGGTATAGGCGGGTGTTGTCTGACATACGAGTCACGGTACTTGTATGTAACTACCAGATCTAACCTCACACATGGCTTCCTCGGGGTTTAGCCATGATTGTGGTCACCGTGCATAACGTACCGGCCGGGGCAGCTTCGTGTTCGAACATGCGCTGTCTGTACTTTGAACTATCAGATCTGACGCTCCGCGTGGCTGTGGCGGTTGCATATGGTCGTGGCGACACATGGATCAATGCTGATCCAAGAAGCGGCAATCTTGGTGGTGGTATCATCATGGCGGGCCAACATTGGTATAGGTATAGCATCATCCGATCAAATTCTTCTTGCCGTACTGGTAGTCATCTTGACGACTACTGCCGTTTCTACAACTCAATCTACCCCGTCGCGACTGCCCTCTGCTTCTTCGCAGCTGCTCTTCTTCGGCTGGAGGATATGCTACTACTTTCCGATTATTTCCTGCCAATCCGTCAATGGAAAGTTTCTCTCACTACAGCCATTCTTATCTTCACCACATACTTATATCGCTGTCCGTCGTTTAGGAAAGGCCATCGTTCCGGTTCCTGATGGGCCGGACCGTCTTGACTGGGTGCACGTGCCGCATGGGTTACCTTCGTCCTCTTGGTGTCGCTCGTGTTTCTCGGCCATCCACGGCAAGCGATTCAACATGAACGATGTTTCAGCTCAAAATCCTAATCTGCCGCGAAAGCGAAGAGCTCTTCGCCGTACAACATCTGTGCGTTCCCTCTCACGTCAATTCGACTCCTCGGAAAGCCGAGATTTGTATGAAGACTCAATATATGATGCGGAAGTGGTCGGGTCGAGCGAGGCCCTCCCATTCGAGAGTGAGCCCGCTTTGGAACCATCATTCGAGGGCGAATACGCCTTGGACTCCTCTGGCCATCCCTCCCGATCGTCATCTCCTCGCAGTCCTCTTGGAGAATTTTCAAGCCCTCACAGTCAATGGGCGGAGCCGCAACTGGCGAGCGTCTTAGAACAAAATACCATTGACAGTATCCGACCGTCGTGCTCTTTGCCGCGACTAGAAGCCAGTCCGAAAAGAAAGTCCCAAATTGTCCATCCTCGGCTTTCGATCCGTTCAATACACCCGAAAGAAGCTTCGGCGTCACCCTGGCCGCTGAAGAAGCGACTGCCTTCGGTCACTTCAGTTCACCACCATCGATCGCTGTCGTTGAATGACCTGGACTGCCTCAAGCGTCTGGCAGCAGGAGTTAGTCGCGATCGATCGTCTTCTGGTGGAGATATCGATCGGAGCAATTGGTGTCCAACTCTTCCGAACCGGCCTGTTCAAGGACCTCCCGAGCGAAGCCCCACTCCGCCTGGACTGCCATCTTTTGGAACGGACGCAGCAGAAGAATTCAGACTCTTGAGACTGCATTCGCCTGGTCGGTCGCTATGGGGTCGGATTTGGGGGTCTTCACATGAGAGTGATGAACAGGCTCCGTCGAGCCCGCGACTTTTGGGCTCTCCAGCTTTGGGGCCGCAGAGTCCCCATGGTTCTCCGAGCCCTCCGACAAGCCCTTCTGCCGAAATCTTTCGACGGACTTTGGCCATGCTGGGTAGGGCCCGTGTTGTCAGTCCTCCGCCACTTTCGATTGAAAATCCACGTGCCCCTCTGCCGCCTAATGTGGTGACCTCCTATACCGACTCAGGAGCACTAGCCTTGGCAGATGACGGAACCTATGTTCGGGGAAGGTTCGGACCTCGATCAAGCGGTCATGGAATCGGCGGGAGAAGTCTTGAGGCGCATCCCATTGCTCGCAACGCGCAGCTGAGCGCCATCGATGAACAAGTGAGAGAGATTGATAAGGCATGTGAGAGAGTTGATATGGAGAATGCCTTGTCACAGCGCATGCTGAACAGGTCCGACTACCAGCAAGACTCTGCTGCACCTTCTCAGGAGACGCCGTATGTCAGGACAGGCGGTCGGACAGCCCGTCCTAGCGAGTTGTTGAGTTCTTCAGAAGATGGCCACTCGAGCCCGGCGGTCTATCTGTCGCCTCCCACATCCTCACCTCGGATACCCATTCCTGAACCCCAAGGCAATGGTGTTGTATCTGGCCTGGAGCAGTCACATTGGGACTCAATGAGGTTGAGGTCGCCGGCCATGCCCAGTCTTTCCAGGTTGAGACAGACCCCGGGGTATCCTCCATCCCTTGTCATGTCCATGAGGAGCATGGAGAGCGCGCCTCATCTATTCACTGCAGCGGAAGAAGCCGAACGAGCCCGGGTGAGGGATTTGGTAATGAATGAGAAGAGGAAGGAGCAGAGCAAGGGGTGGGCTCACCTGTGGTACTCGATCGAAGATTGCTTCTATGAGGTGTGGAAGGGAAGGGATTGGAATGAATGGGAATGGAAGGGATGGGATTGGAAGCAATGGCACTGCCCGATGTGTTGCTGCGGCTCTCGTGGCTGTCGGCGATCCGAAAGTGACTGGTAGGACGAAGGAGATGCGTTGGTGCTGTGGTCAGAGCGGGTATGCCATGAGATAAGGAGGGAACGTATGATGCGTCCGGTTGTATGCTCCAATCCTTGCGGTGGGTGGCATTGGAACAATGTTCCCTGGGGGTGCTTTGCCTACGGCCAGCTGGGAGGAGGTGAGAAGGATGAATATAAAGGGGTGCAGCAACAGGCCTGAGCATGGAGAGATGGACGTGACATTGTGGAAGACATTGGTAGACCAAACAAATCCTATTGTTTTTCTCGTGCCTGCATTTGACCATCGCATATGGTAGTTTGACCGCGTCCCTACGCTATTTCTGTGTCGACATAGCAAGGGAGCAAACTGGGAGGAATGATACGCATGGGACGATACGTAGCTGAGATTAAGCTTTTATTACAATTTTTTCACTCTAGCCGAGTTCATCAATGCATTTCAACCAGTTCGTCTTTCCCAAGCAGGTTGGCCATGGGATCGTCCGCGGCCAGGCGATTGCGCTTGTACGATTCAAGTTCTTCTTCCGAGATGCCGGACTGCAATTCCTGCAAGGTTCGTTTCTTTGCATGACCTCTTGCTGGCTGGTTTGAATCGGTATCGCCTCTCCGGTCGCCCGCGGTTGAAGAGTCAGGGTCGAGCTTATCGGGATGTACTGTGTCCTTTTCTCCATCCATATTGGTGTTGAGTTTGGTCTCTTCATCCAGTCCTGCTTTCGGACCTGCCTCACCACCTTCCAGAGCCAAAGCTTGACCTGTCCTCATTCCCTCGGCCTCCTGGAAAGCAATGCGCCCGGCTTCACCTGTACAATAGCTGTTCTTGACGGTAGAATGACAACAAGCATATCCCCACGTGAAATTGTGCCACCAGCTTCCCCAAACTGACGTGTGGTTATTGACAAGCACATCCTCGGGATACTTTGAACGGGCCACTTTCCTCTCCTCGCCCTTGATGCGGCCGGAGTCGTCGTACTCGACGTAGCGCTCGTTGGCCAGGACCTTTTGCGCCTTTTTGGCAGGCGTCTCTTTGACCAGGTGTTCGTCCCCGCCGTATTTCTCCAGCAGGGCTTTACGGGCGGCGGCCTTTTTCTCCGCGGCTTCTTGTTCCCGTTTCTTGCGCAGAATCTCGCCTTCGGTCGGATTCGCCTGCAAATGCAGTTTCTTGGTCGAGTTCGATTTCGCGGCTTCTTGCGTCTCCCAGGCGTACCGTTGTGCCCGTTCGAACTCGGCCGCGTCGTCGGTCGCGGGTCGCACAAACCCTTCGTCGGCGTCGAGTTCGTCTCCGCCTGCAGCTTTGAGGGCTGCTGTGTCCATGGTGCGTGTTTTCGGGTCATACCGCGCCGAGTCTAGGTCCAGGTTGCGCAGGTAATTCGCCGTGTCTTCTCTCAGGCGAAGTTGTCGCGTCGACGTCGGTTGTGATCGACCCATGTCTGTCTCTTCGCCGTATCGGGCATCGGCGTCGCCATCGGCATCGTCCGCGGTTCCATCGTCGTTTCCGCGGCCTTTTGATTTCGCCGCCGCCCGTTTCAGTGCTTCCAGTTCTTCGTACTCTTTGATTACCGCGCTGTATTCGCGAGGGTCGTAGCCGTTCCATCGGTCTCGCTTTGCGTCCCACCCTAGCTGTACCTCCTCGACCACCTCGTCCGCCTGGATGTCCTTGCCCGTCCAGCGGGCGCCTAGTTTCCTCGGCCGACTGAGACATTCTTTCGTCTTGTGTGTCATGGCGCCGCAGTTCTCGCATGCGCCTTTGCGGAACTTGGTCGCTGCGGGCCCCGCGCGTTTGCCCCGGTCGTACCATTTCGCTTGGTCGAGTGTGTCCTTAGGCGCCGACTGTAGACGTTGATGCTCGAGATAGTCTGCGTCGGAGGTCGTTTCCGCCCAGAAGGGCCGTTTCGAGATGAAAGAGGGGATGTATTCGTTGCGGGATTGTTGGGCGCCAGGGCCGGGAGGTTTGGATTTGGATGGTTGGTTTTGCGCCATGGCGGGCAACGGATTTGTGTAGGTTTTGGAAACAAAACCCAAAGAGCCGGGAGGGAGCAGAACCGGAGGAGAGCACCTAGGTAGTAGTGGCAGTGTGCTTGGAAAGCGAGGTGTTGGCGGTGTTTGTAATTGAGATCAAGTACAGCACTGCAGCGTCAGAAGTTCAAATTGGTTCGGACTTGACTGGGACTTTGTCGCACGTGGAGTTGGCTGCAGTGCAGTGATGCGGAGAAAGAAAGTCGCCTTCGTTATACTTGGGCTCATTCAAGTGGGCATGTTCACATCAGACGCAGCTCGCCATTATGATCGAGGGCGCAACGATGTGTGTGTACATTATAATTTAGTCTTGAATCTTGAATGGTACCCAACATGTGCAGGTGGTTATTCGACCACGAGCAGTTTGCAGTGGCTAAACTTGGGCTGTGACAAAGCGGATCTCGCCGTCTCCAGCCGTCGATCGCGATACAGGCGGCCAACTCATGGCTCTGATTGGCCCGACACCAGCCTCAATGGTTTCGTGTCCCTCTGCAGGCACCGACGTATTTCCCATGTCCTGTGCTGCGCAGTGGCAGCGACGTGTGCGTCTCGTGCCATGCAATGAAGTGCGTCGCCAACGGTGCTCACTCGTCTTCAACTTGCTGATATCTTCACTTGATCTACCTTCCACTTCTCTCTGTCTTCACTTCTACTCCTCCCTTCACCTCTGATTTGGCCATCTTCGCGCCGCCTCCCTATAGCCTTGCAGGGAGAAGTCGGCCGCCCGCAAACTGTTGATGACCGCTTCCTAACCCTCGAGCTGCCCACCTCGTCAACATGTCTTATCCAGGCCTTGTTAGCGGCACCGGCCGCAATATCGACATGACTAAATCCGAATCCGAGCTTGCCGTCAACATCCGCAAAGCCACCAGTATCGAGGAGACGGCTCCTAAACGTAAACATGTCCGGAGCTGCATCGTCTACACCTGGGACCACAAGTCCTCCCTGTCCTTCTGGGCCGGCATGAAGGTCCAGCCAGTTATGGCTGACGAAGTGCAAACCTTCAAAGCCCTTATCACCATCCACAAGGTGTTGCAGGAGGGTCATCCTGTTACAGTCAAAGAGGCCCAACAGAATGTCAATTGGATCGAGAGCTTGGCCAGAGGCGTTACTGGTGAGGGTCTGAGAGGGTACGGCCCGTTGATTCGGGAATATGTCTTCTTCCTGCTGGCCAAACTAGCTTTCCACCGGCAGCATCCCGAGTTCAATGGCCTGTTTGAATATGAAGAGTACATCAGCTTGAAATCCATCAACGACCCTAACGAGGGCTACGAGACCATTTCGGACTTGATGACTCTGCAGGATCAGATCGACACCTTCCAGAAACTCATCTTTTCGCATTTTCGGGGCGGCGCGAACAACGAGTGTCGAATCGCAGCCCTGGTCCCCTTGGTGCAGGAAAGCTATGGCATCTACAAGTTCATCACGAGCATGCTGAGAGCAATGCACACGACCACCGGCGATGACGAGGCCCTGGAACCTTTGCGAACACGGTACGACGGTCAACATTATCGGTTGATCAAGTTCTATTACGAGTGCTCCAACCTGCGCTACCTGACCTCTCTGATTACAGTGCCCAAGTTGCCCCAAGACCCGCCAAACCTGCTCGCCGAAGAAGAGGAGCGTCCCGCTCTGCCCAAGCGCCCCACGAAAGAGATCGAGAAGGCGCCCACGCCTGTCCCCAAGAATGGCACCCCGGACCCCAAGGATATGGAAGATTTCTGGTCGAGGGAGGCTCAAAAACAACAAGAGGCTTACGAGGCCGAGCAGCGCCGGTTGCAGCAGGAGTGGGAAGACCAACAACGCGAGCAACTCAGGATGCAGCAGCAGGCTCAACAGGCATTTGAGGAGCAGCAAAGAATGCAGGCTGAACAACAGCGGTTGGCGCAGGAACAGTTGATGCGCGATCAAATGCAAGCTCAGACTCAAGGGCGGATGGCCGAACTCGAACGAGAGAATCTGGCCGCCCGCGCGCAGTACGAACGAGATCAACTCATGCTGCAGCAGTACGACCAAAGGATGAAAGCGTTGGAAGAACAGCTTCAACAACTCAACAACAACTTCCAGATGCAATCGCAGTCCAAAGATGACCAGATTGCCGCCCTACAAGAACAGGTCAATACTTGGCGGCACAAATATGAAGCATTGGCGAAACTGTACTCGCAGCTACGACAGGAACATCTGGATCTTCTGCAGACCACCAAATCGCTCAAACTCAAGGCCGCTTCGGCTCAGGAGGCCATCGACCGACGAGAACGTTTGGAGCGTGAAATGAAGTCCAAGAATCTCGAACTGGCTGACATGATCCGCGAACGCGACCGGGCATTGCACGAGAAGGATCGTGTCCAAGGCGGACATCGCGAGGAAGTGGAGAAGTTGAAGCGCGAGCTGAGACTCGCCATCGAACGAGCCGAAGAAGCTGAAAAGGCCAAGGGCTCGGAACTGTCTTCGATGCTGGCCAAATACAATCGTGAAATGGCCGACCTGGAAGAGGCTCTGCGCAACAAGACGAGACAGCTCGAGGAGATTCGTTCAAAGCATGGTGACCGCAACGTCGACCATGAACAAGCACTCCGCGAGAAGGACGAGGAGATCGAAATCTACAAGTCCGGGATGGAACAAGCCCTGGAGGAGTTGGAAGAGCTCAAGCTAGGCAGCAAGGAGACCGATGGCGCACTCGATGGAGCGATCGACGAAGTGATCAAGGCCAACATCAACAAGATCAATGACATTATCGATTCGGTTTTACAGAGTGGCGTGCAGAGAGTAGATGATGCCATGTACGAGCTCGACTCGCCCATGCAGGCAGGTAACCAGAATGCAACCGCGCCTTATGTGCTGTCGCAGATTGAAAAAGCGTCTGCCAGCGCGACCGAATTTTCGACTGCGTTCAACAACTTCGTGGCAGACGGACCGAACAGCGACCACTCAGAAATCATCAAAACAGTCTCCGTCTTTGCGGCATCCATCGCCGACGTGTTGTCCAACACCAAGGGTCTCACTCGATTTGCCACGGAGGAAAGAAAGGGTGATCAGTTGATTGACGCCGCCAGACAGGCTGCGCTCGCGACAATCGCCTTTTTCCGCAATCTGCAGTCGTTCCGATTGGAAGGCCTTGAGCCCATGCAGAAGAGCGATGTCGTGATCAACAACAACCATGATGTCCTGATGAAACTTCAGAAGCTTTCGAAACTGGCGGATGCATTCGCACCCAAGAGTAGCAAGCTCAGCACCACGGGGGATCTCGGTGATCTGGTGGATTCCGAATTGACCAAGGCTGCCAATGCCATTGACGCGGCCGCTCAGCGTTTGGCCAAGCTGAAGAACAAACCGCGGGACGGATTCTCGACATATGAGTTGAAAATCAACGATTCTATTCTCGACGCCGCTGTGGCCGTTACCAACGCTATTGCACAACTGATCAAGGCGGCCACCGATTCGCAGAACGAGATTGTGCGCGAAGGCCGTGGATCATCGTCTCGGACCGCTTTCTACAAGAAGAACAATCGCTGGACTGAAGGATTGATCTCGGCCGCTAAGGCGGTGGCTACGTCAACCAACACATTGATCGAGACGGCAGACGGGGTGATTAGTGGTCGCAATAGCCATGAGCAGCTGATCGTGGCATCCAATGATGTTGCTGCAAGCACGGCGCAACTGGTTGCAGCCAGTCGTGTCAAGGCCAGTTTCATGTCCAAGACCCAAGACCGTCTGGAACAGGCATCGCGGGCCGTCGGTTCGGCTTGCCGTGCGCTGGTCCGACAGGTCCAGGATATTATCAAACAGAAGCAGCAGGACGAGGGTGACAATGTCGACTATGCCAGTCTCAGCGGCCACGAATTCAAGGTGCGCGAGATGGAGCAACAGGTGTGTTATAACTTCTTCTTATTGGAGCGTGTCTGGACTCTTGGTGTAACTTCGTGTTTGCTAACTTTCTTGTCTTACAGGTCGAAATTCTGAAACTGAGAAATGCTCTCGACGCTGCCCAAGCCAGATTGGGCGAAATGCGCAAGATCTCGTACCGAGAGGACTGAATTCTGCCTCACAATCACCGTTACCGAACAACTACATGTGCGTGGAACGAAATCGATCGGTGGCCGTCTGGGCTGGCTTCAGGAGTTGCCACACAAGATGGCATGGCGTGACCGTGCCTACGATGCTTACACTATATCCTGCATCAGGAAGCAGAGTTTCCTCGAATATGGGCTAGATCAGCCAAGCTTCACTCCTGAAAGATGTAATTGAATGGAGTGTCCAAATGGGTAAAAGGTGAAAAGGCTGCCTTGATACACTGCGTGAAACTAGCTTCACGAGACTGTCGAACACAGACATGAACATATGCAAGTTCCGGAGCTCGGTCTCCGGAGTTCGCGGTGCAGATAATATTGTTCCTAGTTACCTATTGTTATACGTGTCATACATCAGGAACATGCATCTCGACAAAATACAACCGCGGGTTGGGAGTCTGGTAACCCTGGCATTTGTTTGCTCGATTTAATCAAGCATCTGCAAATCTGAGTAGTACCCAGGGCATTGGAACAGCACGTTGAATCTGACAATTAAATCTGGGCACCACTAAGTACATTACCGCGCGAGGGCCGAGGGGCTCCTGCATCTGGTTCTGTTTCCATGGCATGCCGATTTCGAACATGATGGGTTGCTATGCCCGACCTGACTAAATGAAATGCAGCTTGCAGGTTGCAGCTTGCTACGAGCGAGCAATTCACCGAGTCTGCAAGGGCAGGTTGAATCACAGTACATTGGGCGGCGAATCTCCTGCCCAGTCCAAACCAAATGCAAATCATCAATGCCCCCCGCGGCCATGGGATGGGCGTGTTTGGGTCATCTGCCTACCTAGATCTATCCCATCCCCTTCAAGTTTCCCGGGTTCCCTCGTCCAGTCCATGCTTCTGTGCTCTGCTCATTTAAAAACGGACCGGGGCCACATAGCTTAGGTAGTTGATGGGTCACTAGTAGTTGTTTGCCTACGCCGCGCGGATGGTTTGGAAATCGAGTCATTCATTGTTTGTCAGTTGGTTCTGGTCATCAGCGATTGAGCGAGTAAATTAGTCTCCTTGTCTCTCCCTTCCAGGTGTTGAATTAAATCTGGATTTGTTGCGAGTGTTTTTCTGGTCCACTACCCTAGTAAGCCAAACGGTATGGTCCAGCTGCACGGAACGAGCGACGAGATACAGCCCAAACAAAGATGAAAACGGGGACCTCAGCCCGATTTGGTATTGGCGGAAGAGACAGATAGTACAGAACATGTGAAACAACAAACAAATAGACAAGAACAGCCACCAGACGCCTCGTTAGTTTCCAGGGTCCTGTCCCCCTTTCCCCCCTCGTACATATGAATCTCGATTTAGGTCAGAACTTCCTCCGAGCAAAGGTACACACTCATCGCTGTATTCAAGCCAGGACCAGCCAGGGCTTGTAAACACGAGACAACATAACACAAAGAAAGACACTGGTCCCCGTTCCCCTCACTTTGTCTGCACCGGCTTGCTGTGTGTCTTTACACCATGCTCTCCACTCAGCTTGCCGGAACCCGGTCGTTGTCCCTCGGAAACAAAGGTAAATCCAGAGTTGCAGGCCAGTTTTGCCTCTTCTGCGGCCTTGAGTCTCTTCCTAGCTCGGTACCGTGCCGATGCCAACGCGTTGCGTTTCTTAATCGAGTACGGTGACCGGGAAGGATGCTGAATCTCCACGGGCAGGACAAGCGGAGGGCCTTTGTCTGACGGGAGGATCAATTGATAGATCGTCTGTGGCTCCGGAAGGCTAGATCTAGATCGAGGGGTCTGGCCTGATAGGGGAGGAATCTGCACCTTGTCTGGCTTTTCTAGGAAAGAGATTGGTGGCAGACGATTGGATGCGTCCTGTCCAGTTTGCGATGCACCCGGACTAGTAGGAAACGAAAGCTGCGACCGGTTGTTATTGCATTCGGCGCCGTCGCACACCTTCGTCTCTTTGGCGGTCGATGGAAATGATTGGGCGAGGAGAAGTGAGGTAGCACGAGATCGATCTGGCTCCGATCCCGTAGTAACCTGGGGTTTGCAATTTTTCCGAGGCGTTTCCAAACCGACGGAAGAAGCCGTCCTCCTTTTTGCTGACCTCGATGGCGATTCAGGTCCAGGATCTGGTTCTTCCCTGCCGTAGCCTTCATCGTCACACTCATTCTTTGGGTCGGGTAAGGGATTCAACAGGTTGTGCAGGTTCATGGCTTGAGATGAGGTTTCCTGGTGGGGATTGTTCAGAAGATCTGGGATTCCAACCACGCGGGTCATTGTCGAGCATCTGAGGTATACAGTGGACGGGAAACAGGTAGCTTGATGTAGATGTTGCTGACAGCAGATTCTGTGCTCGACCACACTTGAACAAGAAACTCGATGAAGACGTCGTTGACAGCAGATTCAAGTGCTCGGCTGAATCTGAGCATGTAAGTAGGTCAAGGTACCAAAAGCCCAAGGTTGTGCAACATAGCTGCCCGGTACCTACCGAGCTGAGCGTAGAAGCAAGCTGCAGAAGAATGTCAAGGGCAAAACTGGACGAGCATAATGACCGAAAGGCAGTCAAAGCGGTCGGGCGTCTCGAAATATATTCAGCCTGATCCACCACCCGTAGTGAAGTTACAAGGATGTCCAATGGTGACGATCCGGATCACCCATCATATCCATTTCCGCTGGCAGTATCACTAACATTCGGCAACCCCAGTATCATGACGCCACAAATGCCAAAAGATAGTACACCCGAGCACTTGGATCCCAGCCACAAGGGTGGCCGGGTCGAGCCCGCATGTCAGCCGGACTCAAACATAACATACCAGATCCGTGGTAGTCCTGACCCTTAGCATGGCTTACTTTCTCTGTGTAGTTCGCAGTCTTGACCAGTTTCGTGTCTTGTTGACTCACCAGCTCCTGAGTATTTGGCATTAGTGCATTTGGTCTCAGCAGACTTGAAGCGCCGCTGTGGAAACTGCGGCAGCAAATACGAGAGTACCGGACACGGGACATGGATGAAGGAAGGCACGACGCCTTTGCGGACGGAGACCTGGATTAGATGTGTCTTGGCTGGCTTCAGGGATTGTTGATTCAGAATGAGGCGCCAATCGTGGAATGGAAATGCGGGTAGCTAGGGTGTCGAACAGTTGCCTGAGTGTGAGGGAAACAAAACCTGGAGACGCCGCTGCTTCTGACTTGAATGGCCGTCTTTGGGCGAAGCATATCTACCAGGTAAGTAGATATAGGTATGGACTGTACCTAGTAATCAGGGAGGGTGTCAAGGGCATACCCTGGCAACTGCATTACATCCTTCGAGAGGAGTATACCGTACAACTGGTCACGTCGACAGGGGCGTCAAGTTCCTCAGCTGGATTTGCGGCCGGCAAAGCGAAGCTGAGATTCAGAGACAAATGAAAATCAAGGATTATAGGCCATGCACACGCGTTTTCTTCCGCAATCGACCATAGGATTGAGAATGCAGCGCTTCCCGTTCGCTCAGCGGTACTTAAGCTCAATGCCGGTCAGTTAGTACTAAAGTCGGTGACGATTTGGGAATCCTGACTGTCGATTGTTTTTTACTCCATTGCAAAATTTTTGGCAAATTGTTTCTGTGCATGCCCGTCAGTTTGATTGATAAAGTGGAGAGTTTGTGCGGAAGTCTGAAACGGGAATAGTACTACAACGTAGATGTGTACAATAGTAGTGCGTACGCTAGCTGGTGGACTGCCAGTGGCCAGTCGATCTTTTACCGAGTTTCGACCCTGGCTTCAGGAATTCCAATTGCTGTGCGACGACCCTTTCGTTCAACTTCATTCGTTTATCGTTCCATTCATCAGCACAACAATGTCCCCTGCGGCGGTAGCTAGTGCAATTTTGCCCATGATCGGATTCATTGTGCTAGGGCGCCTTAGGCCCTGGGTTCTGTGACCCTGGGCAGGCCGTAGGCATGCAATAGGCATTTCCCAGCCCCTGTTTAATCGGACACACCTAGTAAGAAGTTTTCAGCTAGGACCCTCCCTGGACTTTTTTGGTAGTGGACATGGAACTCTTGTACCCTCATAATGTCAACGGGGCCATGGCACAAGATCACGGTTGTTGATCACTTCATTCCGCTGTCACATGGCACTTTTGCTCCGGCAACTGTGCCTGTGCAGGAGTACGTGTTTAACAGTTGTTCTATGAACACCTAAATGCAAACATAATGAAGAGATCCATCTGAGGAGTGGACAGAAGCGTCCACCAGCCAGTGCTGACCATGACGCTTCACGCAGAAAGCACGGCTTTCAAATCACCTAGAAATTGGGCAATATTTGCTTAGTAAGATACGTGATTGAACGAGGTAGTGTACAGGGAGGTGCACGGAAAGCGATACTCGTAGTAATGCACGATATACCTGCCATGGATAGCCTCAATGCCCTATTCAGGCTCAGTTCTTGATCCGCAAAGTTCATGAATTCGAGAATCTGTAGAAAATGCGGCAGCTGCTAGAGTTAATGTACAATGTTGTACCTTCAAAGCTGGAAAGGGGAAGAACATCTGCTCCTTGTATGCCCAATGATTTTGGTAAAGCGACAGGCACCTTAGACATGCTCTCACCGCGCCGTTGCTTGATTTCTTAGATGCGATGCTTCAAACTTGGACAAGGGCATGAGTTGCTGAATTCCAATGGCCGTGTCTACACTGAGAGCCGGCTAACATGCGGCAGCGTTCCAAGGCTCGCTTTTAGTGGCCACTGGCAGTCGCAGAGCGCGAATCGCATCCGAAGATTCGGATGATGTGCTGTCCTCTTGACGAAGAGCTATTCCAATCCAAGCGATTTTCGTCCCAGAAGGGCAATCAAGGCAAAGTTGATGCACCGACAGTGGTCTTTCTGGCCTCGACGCGAGGTCTGGTCGTCTTAAATAGGCTTAGCTGAAACTCTGATCGGCCTCCGGTAGCACCGATCTGAACTCTAATTTGAACTTTAATTCGCTTCAACGCGAAGACGAACAACAGGACCTGGGTGAGGGTTTCTACTACGCGCTGCAGTCCTCTGGGTCGATTTCTCTACAACGCTGCCCCCGGGGCTTGTGTGATTTTCTTCACCCTTTACTTCCATGTTCCCCGGAAGCTGTCCGCTGAAAGTATCGACCCCAGCTACTGTTCGCGCACCAGCTATGTGGTCCCATGAGCTGTTCCGCACTCAGCACAATGCGTTCGCTCTTGGCCTTCAGTCACCCCCTGGAGGCTCTGACATAGAATGAGAGAGAACCCTGACAGTCACAAATGGTAGTCATCTATATTCCCTGAAACTCTTGCAGCATCACTAATCAGCTACTAGTAGTATCGTGTTTCCGCGATGGCACAGTGTGAGTGCGCCCTATTCTGCATGCAATAGCCACAAGCACATCGACCCGCATCCTTGCCTGAACGCGACCGCTTTGGACGATATGTTCTCCCCACGAAGTAAATGATGCTGTTATTCTGGTGTGGACGCCTTAGTGAGACGCCCTTCTACTAGTTGCGCAGGGGACTGGTCTCAAGCAGATGCGCAGTTTCTGCGTGATGTGCAGCCTTCCGGAGCTGACGCGGGACGTCTGTCTTGAATGCAAGACCAGCCTTATGAACCCTGTTCGATGTTTGAGAGTGCGTCCTCAACTGCGGGTTGGTAGTGGACATTGAGAGACATCACTGTCCAGCCAACAGGGGTGGCATTCCGTCGTTCACGGAGACGGACCAGGGCCCATTCTTCAACACATCTACAGCTGAACCAATCACCTCCGAAAACAAGGCCATAATGAACCAAGCAGCGGAGATACCACCAGGATGGCTGCAGGTGCTCCCCTGAAGATCGAAGGCTGAGGACAGTGATTCATCAGGCATACCTCAGTAAGTCCGCTTCGGGATATGCCCGTGCCTCAGCGGAGCTATCCCGACGAGACCCACATTCGTCCCCGCTGTCCGAAAGGTTCAAGTTCATGGCTGCTGCGCGATGGAAGATCCGCCCCTTGTGATTCGCAGCCTTGTATTCTCTCGAAAATACAGAGACGCCACCAGTGACCTGGTCCGATCACTCTGGTCGAATCGGTCTCAGGAATCTCGATTTGGCATCTGTCATAGTGGACTTGCGGACGCCTAGGGTAAAAAAGGCGCGGGATCTGCCATAGACAGCGGGCATTTCGACAACCGACAGGGGTCCCGTCGTCGACTAGGACCAAATCGAACCCTCCCCGAGCCGCTCTCTCATTTCAAGTCAGGACATGAACGCCACGGCAATCTCGACGAATAGTCATATCCCGGGACTCTTGAAGCTTCCCTAGGAGTTGCTATGCGTCAAACTCGTTCGCAATCGAAGGAGGCAGTGCACGCCGCCTTCCGGTTCATCAGGAATGACTGGAGAACAAGGTTCAGCCTTGCGTTTCAGGTGTGAGAGCTGTTGCGGTCTTTGTGCTTGTCCTCTGCCATCTGAGGATGTAGGGTATTACTCCCTGGATGTGCAGACTTTTAGCACCGGGAGAAATTTCCCTGCCACAAGTTTTCCAGCAACAAGCAGAGAGACGGATCCCGGTGCGGGACCCTGGATGAGTCGGTGCTGGCCATATCCGGTGGGAGAAATTCTGTGAACGCAGAAGAAATTGTGTTCAGGAAAGCAAGATCAACAGTACAGAAACAGATATTGACTGAAGCAAGTGCCCTCCCACAACATCAACGAGAGTGGCTGTCGATAGTCGACTTACGTGCAGGAAGTGAACATGGCATATAATCTCTCAAACAAAGAATATACGGAGTGTTTGACAGTGGGTGCCGACCATATCATTCCAGCGCGGTCTAGTGACCATATCTTTCTAGCAGGCGGACGTCCAGTCGCTGATTCTCCTCAATATTTCCACACCTCCCGTTGTCGGCGAGCCCGCCGCTCTCATCTTCCTCCTGGCGTCCGGCAGGAACAATCGATCGTGGCTCATGTTGTTCTTACTTGCGCTGCCGTGCCAGAGCTCGGATTCTCTCCCCACACTGGCCTGGTGTCTTGCTGGAGCCCGCCTTGTCGTTGCCCTGGGAGTTCTCGTCGTACACGATGTTTCCGGAGTACACGGCCCCTTCCTCATCGACGCCATACCAGACCATTTCTTGGGGAGGGTTCGGCGCGAACGATCTTGAAGCCTTGTCGCCCTACCCCCAGGGCGACATGGCGGTTGAATTCGGCCCTATACCGAACGCAGTGCTGGCAGCAATCACATTTAAACTTCCAGGCTTTATCCCTGTGATAGGTAAGAGGATGAGAGCTTTTATCTTCATCACGACGATGTCGACGTCCACGTCGGACCCTTGGGTGATGGCGTGACAGCGGACCAACAGCCTTCACAACTCTCGTACCCTTCACTGGTGTTATTCTTCCTCTTCTGGTGTTGGCAGTGGTATTGGTAGTGGTGTTGGTGGTGATGTTGGTGATGATGTTGGTGTTGATGGCGGTTTCGCGCTTTCTCACATGATTGGTGTTCTTGGGTTTCGAGGCGCGCCCATGAAGGAAGAAGTTGACAAAGTCGCTGGTGATGAACTCGGTAAGGTCAAATTTCTGGTGTAAGTGACTAAGCTTGATGAGAACCGAGGTGCTTCTGGTTGTGAAGAAAACAGCCTCTTCAACGAGATCACGCAACGCGGCGCGGAGGGCAGGATCGAGATCGGTGGCTGGGGGCGCGGCCGAGCCAGTGACGGAGGCAGTGTCGAGCAGTAACTGTGCTCGCGCCAGCCATTCTGCGTCGTCAGATAATGCAGGTCTCATTTTGGTAGAATGGTGAATTGCTCTCAAGTTGCGAGGTGTGGGTGAGGTAAAAACAAATACTGCGACAGCGGGTTTACAGTGAAGCCGCACTTCATTAACTCTGTAATATCTTGGGGTGGCCGCCCGCTACAAGCAATGAGCTCGGAAGTCTCGAAGTCTCGTTGAACCGAATCATATGTTTGTATATATCGACTCTTGCTGTCCCCGGCGCATGACCTGAAGCCGACAAACCCGCAGTATCTACTTTGAATGGCATGATGAATGGCATGAAATGAGAGCGTTTGATTATCTCTGAGGCGAGGATACATACTATGGCACACTCGGAGGTTGTCCGTGCCGCTTTGCTATGTGCTGGACGGAGAATATACAGTGGTTCCGGCATGGTAGAATTTCTTGCTATGCATTTGAGCTGTATGTACAAGCCGCCAGTACTACTAGTAGTAGGGTCATATCATCAATATCATCAATCGCATCAAATCACTTCTGCCAGGTACACAGCCTACAACGCATGACGAGCAAGAGCAATGAGAGCAGAAATAAGTCCAATGTACTGGTAGTGGGTCAAAATTGTAGTTCCCGTCGAGGTCAGATATTGAGATTTGAGGCCCGATACGGTTTGTTTGTTGCACCAGACTGGTAGTGGACGAAGGAATTCTACAGTCTGGACATAAAAGAACAGGTTTTCGCAAGCTGCTTCTGAGATTCGCACAGTGCGCCCGAATACTTATGAATAATGTATTATCGTTGTATGTACCTAGGGCTATTGGTACCTTGAGCAAGCGCAAAACCATTTCACGGTGATGACAACCACTTCGTTTGGGACGCTCCAGTGGTGTCTTCTGTCCCATTCCCGCGGCCTCTCCTGCCATGTCTCAGACTTCTGGTGACCTTTGCCTCTCGCCAGGATGTTTGGATGCGTCTCCATCTGGGTTGTTTGTGACAGCTTCCAAGCACAATCCATGGCAGATGTGAGATGTGCTGTGATACAATCACACTTCCCAGTCAATGAGGGCACTCCAGTCGAGATCAAACGGGTCGAAATCATCCTGAATGATGCGTGGCTGAAGCCCGAACTTGCGCGGAGCCCCGACGTAGTAGAAGATTAGTCGGAATTGTGACGTTAAAGACAACGACACCTCTAAGCGGTTGCAATGCCAAGATTGAAGTGGAGAGCGAAACCTCTGCTGGCCAGTGTCCAGTTAGTATGGTACCTAGGTAGGTAGTACTAGTATGGGGGCTAGGGAAGCCCCGCGCGCTGGAGGCAGCATCCGCCATTCGTACCTGGTACTAATGACGTCCTGCAGTGGAATGCAGAAATAGGCAAAGTAGAAAAAGTCAAAGTTCAGGAACAAAGACTCACCATGGGCTTCTTTGATATCTGGTACGCGATGTACTTGCGTACCTCCGCAGCGCAGACTCGGTGACTTACACGATAACATCAACACCACCATGGCTATGCGTTGGTGTTCAGTTTTCGACGTAGGTATGGGGGATCTCCACCTTTATCAACTCGTCGATCGCTCGGGTTTCCAGGGCAGCCATCCTTGGGAATAGGCTACGTTGAATGGTGTAGCTGGAGGCAAGCACCGTCTCTTTGGCGGAATAGGACATCTTGACACGGCGCTGAGTATTTATTTGGTCTCGTTGGCCTGAGACATTGCTGCTGTCTCCCATCGCATTAGACCCAAGTGGCTGTTTCATGGTTCGGTGGGTCCGTGTCACCCACATTCTTGCTCGAGAATGTGCCACTGTTTCTGTCTTTCAATTTCTGGCTTTGGATGGTCTGAGGCGAACTTCTCATAGATGTCCAGACAGCTTTCGTGATCGCAAGAGTGGGAAGGAGTGGCCTTTGCCCAGGTTGGCATTGATTCAAAAGAAAATCCGTGCTTCAGCGATAAAGGCAGCTTTTCTATCTATCTTTGGAGTTCTTTAGCAGCGATCACAATCTCACCAACGGCAAATTCGGGACTAGGATTGTTGCAGGCTCACAAGTCTGCTCTGCGACACACGCCGGAACGAGTCGTCGAGCCCAGGTGCAAGCTCGATATTTGACCAAAGAGATTGAACTTACATATAGGCTCTGAACTGACGAAACTTCAGGGTCGGCGCATGAGAAGAGACTTAGTCGACAGCTGGGAGGGTGCGGAAGCGAGGAAAGTTCAAACTTCAAAGTGCTGCTCTCCTACCTATGATTAGGTCTTAATCTACCTCAAGTGAAGCTTCTTACCTTGACTGATATGCCTCTGCGCCGGCACTTGACTTGATAGTTTGCCTGCTGGCCATTCGCTGTGGCATTCGAGCACTCAAGACTGTGAGTGAAGAGTTACGGCTGCAGATTTTCCTGGCATTGTGCGCTGCTCAAACTTGTCGCAGCTGCGGCATAAGACCACTGCACTAACTGGGCATAATTTCTTATTCAATCCTATTCGAAACCCGATGCGGTAATGCGGCGCGACCTTGCTGTGTTCAAAATCTAGTGATGCGGCAGAATTCACTGTTGTCGCGCTACCACCTGCGACCTCACTTCACTTTCAAAACAACTTCTCTCACTATCAAAACAACTTCTCCCACTTTCAAACCCTCGATCTCTCACTTTCGAACTTCTCATCCCTTCTCATCACAGTTGTCCTCAACTTTCCCAAACCTACATACTTCCTTGAATCACTCATCAACCCTCTGATCCTTCTTCATTATCTTCAAAACGCCGGCTGTGAAAGAGGGATCAGTCTCCTCGTAAGGAATCTCCATTTTCCATTGCACGCAGACAGCAGTCTCTGACGATTCATTAGACGATCAGCAACGATGGAAGCCTCGAATGCTTTCATTGCTGCCGACATGGCTAACACAAATCCCAATCGTGTTGGCTATACCAAGGAACAGATTGAGGTCGTCTGGCAAATGAGTCGTCCCTCGATGACCGAGAACAACTGCGAAATGGTCCTTCCCAAATTCGTGGCCATGAAGCTCACTGAAGAGAACATCAACGATCTCAAGGCTCGCTTCAGGCATGTGGTTCACTCTAACTTCAAACTCTGTGATTACTGACTTCTCCAGTGCGCTGTACGGTGGCGGCCCTGCCGAAAGTGTTGTCGACCACACCCACCAAGTGATCCGTATTCGCAAAGTTGCTGAGGGAACAACGGCTGCAAATAGTCCTTTCGCTTCCAGCAACCTGTCGTCGTCTGCTAGCCCACCACAATCACCTGGCAAGACTACTAACCACATCGTCGCCGGCTTGAGTGGTCATGCTCGAGGCCCTGGAAAGCAGCTCAAACCAGCCAAAGCACTTCGCTTGCCTGGCAAGAAGTCCAAGGTCCCACGTCCTCCCAATGCATTCATCCTCTATCGCCAGAAGCATCACCCTCTTGTGATGGCAGCTCATCCAGGCATGAAGAACAATGACATCTCCATCCTACTTGGCCAACAATGGAAGGCAGAAGCTGAAGATGTCAAGGCTGAATACAAGGCACTGGCAGATAAGATGAAGCTCAAGCATGCTGCTGAGAATCCTGGATACCAATACGCCCCGCGCAAGGCTTCTGAGAAGAAGCGTCGCATGACTGTCCGCAAGCTTGCCAAACTTCGCTTGAGTGATGGCGGATCAGAAACACAATCCAATCCCGACGTTGACACGGATGATGCCAAGGGTGTGGAGAAACTTGCACTTCCAGAGCACGTTGCTGCTGATGGAACTACGCTTCGCATGCCAGTCTCTGTCACCGAGATGCTCAACGCAGAGAGACCGAGCTATCCTGGCTACATCGAGTACAACGCTGTTGAGAAGATGAGTCTCACCCTTCCAGCTGGTCATAGCCAAGTTGAGCGCGACTACATGTTGAACATGGGCTCTGGAGCTGAAGGCCTATCTGTGTTCGACGACAATGCCAGATCCGGTGTCTATACGGACATGGATGACTTCATCGCCACTGAGACCACTCTCATGCATGATGCAACTGACTGGGAAGCCATCACGCACGACATCGAGTACATCCGTGCGATGAAGCAGTTTCTTGAGGTCTCCACCACCAACAACCCGAAGCATCCCAAGGCCACGGAGCCCAGTGGATCCATCCTCAACTTCGACGATGAGATGGAACGCCAGCTCTTCCAAGAACGTCTCGACGCAGCTCTCTGGATGCTCGAATGAACTCATTGACAGACACAACCATCAGACATCAAGACTCGAAGAAGATGTTCAGCCAAACAAGACCGACAGGACACGGAGACTCAACACCTCACACAAGGGCGACGGTGATGCTGCGGCACTGTCTTTCTCAATCTGCGACATACCCAGCTCTGGCGCCATAGGTATTCAACGGTTCCCACTTTACCAGTGCTTTCCCTGCATAGCACACGGAGTTTTCATTTCACAACAGGGTCACAAGGATCAAGCCCAATCAGAACATCATGGATGGGCTGATGCAACCAGGACTGCAGCATGGCAATGGCCAACATCAGTCTGCAGACTAAGTGCGTTAGGGGTGGGGATTAGTGCGATACGGAGCGCATTGTTTCGAAAGCTACACTAGCAATCAGGGCCCGGGTGTTATCACCGAGCGAGGCCCCATTTCTGTGTCCAGCCTTGATGCTGCCTCCATACTTCCACCCCCAGCATAGCACCATGACAGTTTAGTTTAGTGACTTTAGCATAGAATAAAATAATAAAAGGATGAAGTCCCTGCAAAGGGATGGAGCCACCAAAAAAGAGCTTTCAATGTAGTGTCCGTTTGATTCCTATTCCGTGCCCTATTTCGTTCATAGCCCTCTCACGGCGCAACGCCGGCTGCGGTTTAAGCATACACTGCACCAGGGTCATGGCCATGGCTCATTTCAGCGTAGAAGGCTAACACTAACAGACTCAGGACATGCCGTACTTTTACCAAGACGCCCAAGCACAAATCCTACTACTTCTGCTCACATCTGCAAGACCTCTCAGACGCCCGCTGATCCCCAATCTCCTCAAATAAACCCTCGACCTTGAAACAGAAGTCCTACCGGCCTGAATGTAAGCCATCTCGCAACCTTTGAATGAGCAGGGAAAGAGCAGGAGAGAGGAAATGGAGACACAGTCCCGCGTGACGAGTACATGAAGAGAAAGCACGAAGATACACGATATGTCAGACCCGCAACCTAGGGCATCTCTCTACCTACCTTAGTAGGTGACGAGGCAAAGAGGGGAGTCAAGATAAACTTTTTGCTACAAACTTTCAAAACTGTCTCCCTACACTGGGCCTGCCAGTGAGGTGGTACAACTTGAGTTCTCGGTGGTGTCCGCAAAGGCTCTCAGGGCGGGTCATGATCGACACTTCGCGGCGATGACTCGCATAAGCGTGCATTGGTGGTCCATGCGCTGACTGCCAATCAATCCGCAGAAGGGATCCGCAAGATCGCAATCTAAACTATCCTGGGCAATTTGCCTTCTCTTTCGGGCCAAAATTTGTCTTTTCGTGCACCTGCAAATCGAAAACCACTAGTACCGCATTTGCATCGTGTCCTTCTACCCCGGTCTAGAGCGATGGACTAGAGGATAGTGCGCAGCTATGACATCAAAAATATCCGAGGTTGCTCGCACAGGCCTACCACGTTCAGATGTTGTTCCCACTTTTCATCGACATCCAGCTACAATGTTGTATGTGTTACTTTGACAGCACGAACATGCTGGGTGGAGTGGGCAAACATGGAAGTAATCATGGGATGAAAAATTGTACATTTTGGAGCAAGTAGTATTATGGCATACAATGGCCAACCATCTAGGCGGCATTGAGAACGTTCATCGTCTCCTGCTCGCATGGCCCGATCAAAATCTAGAGATGCCGTAGCTTGTGGAAGCGGGCATGTAGAAGCACTACCACGCCTCCGCTCTAATGACAGTCGTGTGCACCTTCGACCGAGGGATGGCGTCCCACCCATGGATCTCAAAGCATCAACTCCATTATCCTTGAATGATCCGGCTCCTGGGAGATCGTGCCAGGCTCTGGTAGCCTTAAGTACCGCTCTCTGAGTCCGGAGAATCCATAGGACAAAGGCACCAGAGAGAGGTTAAGGCGAGCTCGAGTCATCTGAACCCTTGTCATTGTTGCGCAGGTGTATGCGTGTCCCAGTCACTGGCCCATATGAAGGTGTTGCATCTCCACTGGGTGCCTTTCTCTTGTTTCCCACTAGGTCCCAGTGGTCGATTGCACATCCAAAATGACCGGCCGCAGTTTACGCCTGGCTTTTTGGTTACCATGATTTTGCAGGGCTCATCATGTTCGCACTTTGGGGCAACCGGTCTGGAGAATAATTTCCCCCAAGTATGCTTCGTCTTGGATGGCGCAGGTGTCGAGATAAACTCTGGGCCGGATCCTTCGGTCATGCCATCTTTGGACGACAGAGCTTCAGTCGTGGCGTCAGCTGCAGTAGCCATCGAAGTGAGGACATTTGTTGCCTCGGCTCCTCCATTAGAGATGATGGAAGCGGGCCGCAGTACGCCACTCTGAGGACTATGTTCAGGCGGTTGCGTCATTTTGCTGTCGGTAGTGGACGGTTTCGCCGCGAAAAAGCCTTTCAGACTTTGTTGGCCTTTGCCCGAACCGTTTGGTGTTGATATCGAGGCTGACTTGCTGCGCTTGACTGACGAGAGAGTTTCATTCGTCTTTGCTTTGCGTTTGGCGTAGGAGGTCGTTGAGGAGGGACAGGTACTGAAGTCAGTTTTTGAGACCGCCTCGCGTTCGTCACTCTGAGACGGAGTTGTAGTCGGCTCAGTGCCTGTTGCAGAAACTTGGACGGATGGTGGAGTTGTAGATACTCCCTGGGCCTCATCTATGGTGCTCTTGGATTTCTGCAAAGTCGGCTGCCTCGTCAACATGTCCTTGATGCTCTGCCGTTTGTAGAATTCCTGAATCAGTTTCCCAGACAAAGGCAGTAAGCATTTCGTTGTCCACTCCCGCTGGCGCACACCCTCGACAAACATGCCAGGCGGGTTCATCAAGTCCAGCACATGGGTCTCTTTGCCATTGATAAGGACTTTGTCTTTTAACACAGCATAAACTGGGCAGTGGTCGGAGCCCAAGAGGCCTTCCTGAATGTTGGCGTCGCTCCACCAATCTCTCATGTCATGACTGCAGATGATATAGTCGATACGGGACCCATAATTGCCAGGGCGGGCATTGACCTTTGTCTCCCAACAAGTGTACATGCCCCTGCGCCCTTCGTGGAATGCACGGCAGACGTCCCACATGATTGCTGTTTCTCTTCCCTCATCACGTTCCCCACGTACCTTCCCACCAACAAGAAGCTGGTTCAACATTCTTCTTGCGGGAGTGGAAATCCACTCTGCTGCGTCAATGCCGTGCTTCCTCATGCTCTCCTCAGCCGCAGCTGTGTCAATTTCTTCTCGTGATATATTCATGTCGCCAACCCATACCACTCTTTTTCCCATTTTGACAAGGTTCCGAATCCTTGCGTCAAGAACGTTCAAGAAACTGGTGCGAAAGTGCGTTCGGGTTTCGTCACGTTCAGCAGGACAGTAGGTGCCGATGAGGACGAATGCAGGAAACTCGAGGATGACACACCGGCCTTCAGAGTCCAGACTGGCAGGGTCGTAGTCCGATATAGGCAGCTGCTGGATACTGGGATACCCACCAATCTGCTCTTCGACTGGTAAATCACGGAAAGCGGTAGAGGAGTTTGGAGGAGTCAGGATGCCAGTGATGCCCTCTTCGGCTCTGATAGGTGCGCATGTGGCATTGCGAGTATAGATAACGACGCCTGAATAACCTGTTTCCGTTAGAGCGTCTGCGGCATCAGCTGAACCTCACTTGTGCCTTACCTTTCTTGTGTTTCGGTAGACTCCAGTAATTATCCCATCCGGGCACCAAAACCATATCATCGCGCAGGTCTTTTCTTTGGATCTTGGTCTCTTGGAACACGACTATATCGGCCTCGAGGGTATCAAACATTCCCGCGAATGTCTTTTTGTCCCTCCACGGCTGGTAGCCAAATGGATTGCGGATGCCATTGACATTCCATGTAGTGATTCGTATGCCCATGCCTGGCTAGCTGAGGCTGCTCAGCCATAAGGAAGGGAAGGATAACGGCCGCGTCATGAATGCGCAGAGTTCAATAGCGCAGTCAATGCTGGGGAGTGGGAAAATTGTCGAAGAAGGGTTTACAGGATGCCGCTGGCGCAGGTCTCTCTAGGACTGACTGAAGACGGACTGTAGTAATGAGGTCCACGGAGTGACAGTACTACAACATAGTACAATAATGAGAAGGTGTGGCGCTCCCAAGTCGCAGTGGGTTTCAGCCGCCGCAGGTACGCGAAAAGCGCATGCGGCAATGCCAGGCGCGGGCGCGGTGAACTTTGAAGACTAGAAGAGGGCACGTGATTAACCTCAGATAGCGGGGCATCACGTGTATCTAGGTACCTACGTTGTACATTGTAGGTAGGCGCTTCAAGTTCGTTCGAGCTGCGGAAGTGACGTAACCGTGCTTACCTTGCACACATTGACTTCCTTAGAACCAGACTCCCACAGCATCTTGTGATAGATGAAATCACCATTGGGGGTTCCAGTCGTCCTTCTATTACTTTGACCGCATCTCACAGACCTGCTATTACCCCCTAGTGTTGTCTCTCACATCCCGTTGTGGAAGACCGTTTATCCTACACCTCAAGACCGCAGCTACCTACTTTCACGCCACAGTGGCTGTGCGGCTTTGATCTTGGCCCAAGCTCGTTACGCGTCAACTTCTCGCTCCCAGGGCATCGGCGCCAACCGAGTTCTGCCTCACTGCATCATAAAGTTGACATAATACGACGTCCTTATGTGGACGACTGTGCGGTAGTTGCCTTGATCGATCCCCGCCTGGGTAACGGCCGGAGCCAGCCAAGATGTTGGAGGGCTTGGTTGCTAATCTCCTCAATCGCTTCCTGGGCATGTATGTGAAGAACTTTGACCCAAAGCAATTGAATGTCGGCATCTGGTCCGGTGATGTCAAGCTCCGAAATCTTGAGCTCCGGCGAGAAGCTCTTGACCAGTTACACTTGCCAATCAACGTAGTCGAAGGTCGACTAGGGGAGTTGACCTTACAAATCCCCTGGTCCAATCTACGAGGCAAACCCGTCAAGGTAAACATCGAAGATGTGTTCCTCCTCTCTGCGCCAAAGCAGGAAGATGACTATGACCCGGAGGAGGAAGAAAGACGGGCAGTGGCTGTCAAGCTGGAGAAACTGGAGAGCGCCGAGCTATTGAAGGAACGAAACACCGAGGCTATGAGTCCAGAGGAGCAGAAGAAGAATCAGTCTTTCACGCAAAGCTTGGTCACTGCTATTGTCGACAACCTTCAAGTCAGCATCAAAAATGTTCACATCCGTTATGAGGATTCAATAGCAACGCCAGGCCATCCCTTTGCGGTCGGGTTCACGCTGAAAGAGATGAGCGCGGTGAGTACCGACGCAGATTGGCGGCCAACATTCATTCAATCCACTTCCGGAACGACTCATAAACTCGCAGTGCTGAATTCTTTGGCACTGTATTGGAACAGCGACGCAGAACTGTTCGGTACCGGAAAAGGAGGCCATGTGGGTGCGGATGCCCAGCAGCTTGATAAAGATGAGATGATCAGGCAGTTCAAGGAAGGTATTGAAGATACTGGCAGCTCCCAATATCTCCTGAAGCCAGTCAGCGGGCGTGCTGGAATTGAAATGGACAAGACTGGAAGACTGGATCGACCCAAGATAAAAGCTCGCCTTCTATTTCAGGAGCTCGGTTTTATCCTTGATGAAGATCAGTATCGTGATGCTTTGATGCTTGTGGACCTCATGCATTACTTTGTGAGGCATCACGAATTCAAGAAGGATCAGCCTGATAAGAGTCCTAAGGAAGATCCTAGAGCATGGCTGAAATTTGCGGGAACAGTTGTGCTGAACAAGATCCACGATCGCAACCGCAAGTGGACCTGGGAATACTTCAAAGAGCGCAGAGACATGAGACTCAGATATATTGAACTTTTCAAGAAAAAGAAGAGGGAGCAAAAGCTAACAGAGCAGGAAACAAAAGACCTGAACGACCTTGAGCACAAATTGAGCTACGAAGATCTGCGTTTCTGGAGATCTCTCGCCCGTAGCCAGCTAAGGAAGGAGGACATTGGAGTCAAAAAGCCAGCCCAAAAGCAAACCTGGTCTGCTTGGATTTGGGGCTCCAAACCTGAAGATAATCAAGGTGATGACCAGGCAGGAATGACTGAGGAACAGCTCAAAGAGCTTTATAAGGCCATCGACTGGGATGAGAAGAAAGCGATTGCGGACAGCGTGGACTTGCCACGGGAAACCATCAAGTTGCAAGTGGAATCAAGCCTGAGGACAGGGAGCTTCACTCTGAAACGGGACCCTCACGGTAAAGCAAATGAAATCCTTCAACTCGTCTTCGACAATTTCAGCGCAAAAGCGCTTCAACGTCCCGACTCCATGATGGCCGAACTTGCTCTTGGCGGGTTTCGCGTGTATGACGGGACGACTGAGGGCACTCTATTCCCTCAAATCGTCAAAGTCAAGGGCGTAGAGGATCAGCCGAAAGACGAGCCGGTAGAAGCGCAGGCAGAAGAGGGTGGATTGGACAACAACAGTGATGCCGGTCCAGAACCCTCAGAAATTCCAGGCGCTGATAGTAGCCTGTTCCATTTTGTTTTTGAGAACAACCCTTTGGACGAAAGCGCAGACACGAAAGTGATGCTGAAGGTGAAGAGCCTCGAATTCATCCACAACCCAAGGTTTGTGGTCGAGATAGCCAAATTCTTCAAACCACCGGAACGCCAGATGGAATCGATTGGCGCTTTGATGGAAACAGCTGGCGCCACTGTCGAAGAAATCCGCCAACAGACTAGAGCCAGTCTCGAGTTCGCTTTAGAAGAACACAAGACCATCAACGCCAATCTGGACATCCAGGCTCCCATCTTTATCATTCCGGAGAGCATCACCGAGGAGAGTACACTCTGCATGATACTGGATGCAGGTCACGTGAGTCTCAACAGCGAGCTGGTGGACAAGGAGACGATGCAGGAAATACACGCCAAACAAAGACAGCAATATACGGAGGAAGACTTCAAACATCTCGAGAGGCTGATGTACGACAAATTTCACCTCAAGCTCGACTCAACACAAGTCCTCATTGGGCCAGGGATTCAAGCAACGAGAGCACAACTAGAGAATCCCGACCCCTCCAAGAGCCTGCACATCATTGACCGCATAAACATGGCCTTCTTGCTCGAGAATTCGATTGTTCCCAAGGCTCCTGACATTACGAAGATTCGTGTCTCTGGCACGATGCCTGTTCTTCATGCGTCAATCTCAGATAAGAAATACAAAAACCTCATGAGACTGCTGGACGTGGCCGTTCCCAAATTCGAAGATGACAGCTCAAGGGCAAATGGCCGGGCTGATGAACCGGAAACACGCAAATCTGTCGAAGATCCCAAAGTCAAGAGAAAATCCGTCCAACTACTTGAGATGAGAAATATACCGATCATTGACCCCGAGTCTGATTCCGAGGAGGCGCCGTCTAAGCAAGTTATTAAGTCCGAGACGCCCGCCAACATCCATCAACGCAACTTTGAAATCAATTTTACGGTGGAGAAACTGCAGGCGTCCTTGTACAAGGCCGATCCCGACGGACAGAAACCAGATCAGCTGTTGGTTGAGCTGGTTGCGGAACATTTCTTTTTCAATTTTTACCTTCGTCCTTACGATATGGTGGCAGAGGTTCTTCTGAAGTCTTTGACCGTCGATGATCATATTGAACAAGCCCCCTTGCCGGAATTCAAGCAGATTATTTCCTCCAAGGGTTTCAAGGCGGAGGAGGATAAGGATTTGTTCAATGTCAAATTCGTCAAGGTGAACCCGGAGTCCCCTGAGTTCAAATCTACCTATGAGGGTATTGTGACCAATCTAGATGTCTCTGTCTCCACAATCAATGTTATTGTGACGAGAAGAACCCTCTTGACGCTTCTCGATTTTGTGCTCACGACATTCGCTGCACCCGCTTCGCAACAAGCTGGCGCCATTGAAGGAGAGGGAAAGGCCACTGCACAGGAAGACTCGGTCGATAGTCTCCCACAAGCCCCACCGCAGGCTGATAAGATCAGAATCAAGGCCAAATTGACTAGTATCGCGCTGATCCTAAACAACGATGGCGTGAGACTGGCAACATTGTCTCTGAACTCCGGTGATGTTGGAGTTTTCCTGGACGCAGGCACCATGCAAGTCAAAGCAAGACTCGGAAGTCTGTCTTTGGTGGATGATATAAACCAAGGAGCGCCTGAAGACTCGCCCTTACGCCGGCTCATTGCGATAGAGGGGGACGACTTGGCCGACTTCAAGTACCAGACATTCGATTCATCTCGGAAGGACTACCCTGGCTATGACTCTGGGATCTACCTGCGTTCTGGTTCTATCAAAGTCAATTTCCTCGAAGAACCTTTCCGGAAGATCATGGAGTTCGGAGTGAAGTTCGGTAAAATGCAAGCTATCTTCAACGCGGCAAGACAAGCTGCGGCAGAGCAAGCCAGTCAGGTCCAGCAGAGTGCTCAGAAAATGCACTTTGACGTGTTGATCAAAACCCCGATCGTTGTCTTTCCCAGAGCCATGGTTGATGATCGTCCTCGGGATCTCCTGACGGCTTACCTGGGTGAAATATACGCCAAGAACAAATTCGTTGGCATCCAAGGACAACAGGGCGGACCTCTGGTTAACAAGCTGACGGCAGGTATCCGACATATCCGTCTGACGACGGAGTTTCACTACGAGGATGGGAGGTCAGAAGAGCTGAAAATGATTGATGAGGTGGACGTCGACTTCAGAATTCGATACCTAGAACACCAGCCTGGTCTAGAGAGGCCAGATCTGGAGGTCGACGGCAGCCTGTCGCCTATCAATCTCCGAGTCTCTCAGACTCAATTCAAATTTTTGATGGAGTTGTCCAAAACTATCCCTGCGGCTTTTGCCACAGAGGATGAATCGGAAGAGGAGATTGCCGAGGAATTGCCTGAAACAACGTCTGAATCTGCTGCGACACCAAGGTCGGAAAAGCGCCCGTCGCAAGAAGTGTCACATCCATCTTTTCAAGGTCCAGAGCTCGGCTCAAGCGATAAAGTCTGGACAAAAGTGAACATTGTATTCAAGGCCCCCATGGTAGGACTCGAACTTATCCTCGCTTCAGAAGATCAACCATTGGACAATTTCGAGGCTGCCAGCATCTCGAAGTTCTCACTGAACGAAACGAATGTCAAGCTGCGGATGCTGAGTGATGGCGCTTTGGAAGCAGAACTTCTCATCCATTCGTTCTCCATTCGCGATAGTCGTTCCAAGGAGACCAACAAATTCCGAAAGATTATGTCGCTGATCAATAGCGACGTCCAGCAGCAGTTCATGGCTAGCGCGTCGATTTCCGGCGGCGACGATAGGCACATGATTGTCATGTTGACCATTGACAGTCCGCGCATCATCGTTGCTTTGGACTATCTTTTTGCCCTCAAGGCCTTTGCTGACACTGCACTGCAATCAGACGAGCCTCCACAAATCGCGGAGGTGGAGGAATTGTCCGATGATGCTGAGCAGAGTACCTCTAACGAGGAAGAACAGAGGAGTATCACTCCTCTACCAGAAGAGTCGAAAACTGATTCTCCAATGAGCGTCTCATTCCGTGTCAACATAGTGGATGCCCAGGTCATCTTGATCGCCAACCCAACTATCTCGAACACCGAAGCTATTGTCTTGGGGACCAAGGAAATCCTGGTATCTCAGCAAAATGCGACGACATTGCAGATAACAAGGGTTGGAATGTTTCTTTGTCGCATGGACAAATTTGAAACAAGCCGTTTGAGGATCCTTGACGATTTCAGTATTCAAATGTCGATGGACAGGCGTACCATTGGCAGAGATTCCTCTCTGACATCCATCCACATCGACGTTGAACCGCTCGTGCTCCGGTTGTCTTTGCGTGACATTCTACTCGTCATGCAGATTATCAGCAAAGCATCATCTACAATGCCGCAGCCGAAGATGCAGGAAGATTCGGAACCACGGAAACTGAAGGAAGTCAAAGGGTCTTCCAAGGCGCCATCCACCAGGCGGAAATCAACGGCAGGCAGGACGACTATGACAGCGAAGAAAACCCAGAGATCAAAATCGATATCGAAGCTTGAGGCAAAGCACTCCCCGAAAAGAAAGTCAGTGGTCATGAGCAGGGAAGAACTGGTCGCTCAATTTGGCGGAATACGAGTAGTGTTGATTGGCGATTTGCATGAACTTCCACTGCTTGACTGGAGTGTGAAAAAGTTTGACGTCGATGTCCGCGACTGGTCTGGTGCCATGACGGCCGACGTAAAATTTGACACTTTCATCAATGTATACAACTTCTCTAAGTCGGCATGGGAGCCTCTTATCGAACCATGGAAGCTGGGCTTTCACGTGTCAAAGCAGCTTCATCCTGAAGTGATGTCTGTCGAGCTTTATTCTCATAAGACAATGGAGCTCACGATAACATCAGCAACAGTCGCCCTAGCTTCCAAGTCCTTCAACTTTCTCTCTACAGATGAGGATATCCTGTCCAAACCACGTGTTGCGGACGCACCATATCGCATCCGCAATTATACAGGCTTTGATCTCAGCGTATGGGCAGACGAGAGAAGTGACACTGCGGCCGCTGCCAAGCTAAGTGATGGAGAAGAGTATCCATGGCGCTTCGAAGACGCAACATCAATGCGAGAAAGCCTCTCACCCGAAGGTAATGCCGGTCTTGTAGGTGTTAAACTGGAAGGGAGCGGTTTCGATAGCATCAGCCGCATACCTGTGATCCGCGAAGGTGAAACGCTCTACAACCTGAAACCCAAAAAGGAGAATGTCCAGCACCGAATGCTCGTGGAAGTGAGATTGGGAGCTGACAATGTCAAATACATCACCTTCCGCTCACCACTGCTTGTTGAAAACAAAACCCAGATACCGATTGAAGTCGGAGTCTATTCTCCTAATGACGGCAATCTTCTCAAGATCGAGAAGATACCTCCTGGTGAAGGGAAGCCTGCTCCGGTTGGCGCGGCCTATGTCCACTCTCTCCTGGTCCGTCCAGACCAAGGGTTTGGTTATGGATGGTCCAACGAACAACTTGTCTGGAGAGATCTCCTCAAAAGATCTACAAGGACGATAACATGCGAATCAGAGAGCAGAGATGGGTCACCTCCATTTTTCTTCCAGATGCACGCGTCATATGACCCTAGAGATCCCATAACAAAGAATTATCCCTACATGAGGATCCAGATATCCGCCCCCGTCGAAGTACAGAATCTTCTTCCTTACGACTTCAAATACAGGATCTATGACAGGAACACGAAGAAAGACTGGACCAACTTCTTGCGCAAGGGAGGCGTGAGTCCGGTCCACGTGGTTGAGCTTTCGCACCTGCTTCTCCTCAGTGTTGATATTGAAGACAGCCCCTTCAAACAAAGCGATTTTGCGATAATCAACAACGATACTCAAGAAGACTTCCGCCGTGAGAAATCAGTTTTGTTGAAAGATGAGAATGGTGCACAACTCAGGCTCAAGCTTCAATATACCAACATCAAGAATAGTGGAGGTGCTTTTAGGGTCTCGATTTATAGCCCATATGTCCTCTTGAACAAAACTGGGCTTGACATGAGCGTGCAGAGCAAGGCATTCTTCGGGTCATCGCGCGCCGTGTCATCCCAGGGCACGAGAACAAGCTCAGGTAAAGGCAAGGCTCTTCCAATGTTGTATTCCTATGCCACCGATGACCGCAAAAATCGGTCTCTGCTCAAGATTGGTGACTCCAGCTGGAGCAAGCCACAGAGTTTTGACGCTATTGGAAGTGCTTATGAGGTTGTCTTGCCCGCCTCAACCGGGAAATCCGAGCTGCATGTTGGCGTTTCTGTCGCTGAGGGAGAGGGCAAGTACAACCTGACTAAGGTGGTGACTGTGGCGCCTCGCTTTGTGCTCAAGAACAAGATAGGAGAGGACCTGGAATTGCGCGAGCCTGGATCTTCTGAGGTTTGGAAGATGAAGCACAACGACCTCCTTCCCATCTATTTTATGCGCCAGACACCAGAGAAACAACTTTGCCTGTGCTTTCCTGGAGTGAACAACCAGTGGTCAGCACCTTTCAACCTTTCAAACGTCGGCATGACCCACGTCAAACTCGCTAAACACGGCCAGAGACAGACGCTTGTTCGAGTCGAGATCATTCTCGAAGATGCAACCTTATTCCTGCACTTCAGTATTGAGACGAAACATTGGCCCTTCTCGATGCGTAATGAAAGTGACACCGAGTTTTTGTTTTTCCAGGCCAATCCAAACATTGCAGAAGATGAAGAAGAAGACCAAGGCAGCGGCTGGAAGCCTATTCGGTACAAACTTCCACCGCGAAGCATCATGCCGTACGCCTGGGATTACCCTGCCTCTAAGAACAAGGAACTTGTCCTTACAGCCCGGGGCAGAGAGAGATATGTGAAGCTGGTGGAAATAGGCAACTTGATACCTATCAAGCTGCCACCCGATCAACCCGGTAGTCCTCCAAAAGTCATCGACGTCAACATTGTTGCGGACGGCCCAACGCAAACACTCGTTCTTTCCAACTATAAGCCATCAAAGTCATTGTATAAGCAAAGGACCGGCCAGAGCACTGCCTCGCAGACCAGCCTCAATCAGGGATTCGAGGTCAAGGAGATCGAGTCCGAGATCAATTTCAAGGCTGAACTTCGATTAGCTGGCATCGGGATTTCACTCGTCAACAGCAAACTCAAAGAGCTCATGTATCTTACTTTCCGAGAGATCGAGCTCAAGTACGGAGACTCCAGGCTGTATCAAACACTGAATGCCACCGTCAAATGGATCCAGATTGACAATCAACTCTACGGCGGCATTTTCCCAATTTTGCTCTACCCAAGTGTGGTCCCCAAGACCGGCAGAGAAATGGAGGCACATCCTATCTTCCATACGATGATTACTCGGGTCAAAGATGATTCCTATGGCGTCCTATACATAAAGTATGCCACATTACTTTTGCAACAGATCACTATCGAACTCGACGAGGACTTTATATTTGCTATGCTTGACTTCTTGAAGGTCCCTGGCGCATCATGGGCCGAGGAAAAGGAGGGCAGGCTATGCGATGAGGATCTAGATGTGCCAGAGCCTACTCGAGAAGAACAAGGACAAGACGTTTACTTCGAGCTACTTCATCTACAGCCAATTCAGTTGGATTTGTCCTTCGTGAGGACGGAGCGTGTCAATGCCGAAGACACATTCGTCAACAGTCCGTTGATGTTCTTCGTGAATGTCATGACAATGTCGATTGGCAACGTGAACGACGCTCCCATTAAGCTGAACGCCCTCATGCTGGAAAATGCAAGAATATCGGTGCCAGCCTTGATCGCAAACATTCAAAACCATTACACTCAAGAGGTACTTCGGCAGGTCCACATCATTCTTGGATCAGCAGACTTCCTGGGCAATCCTGTTGGTTTATTCAACAGTGTCAGTTCTGGGGTTGCTGACATCTTCTACGAACCATACCAAGGCTTGGTCATGACGGACAGACCTCAGGAACTTGGGGTCGGCATCGCAAAGGGCGCAAGTAGCTTTGTCAAGAAATCCGTCTTTGGATTTAGTGACAGCATGGCCAAGTTCACCGGCTCCATGTCCAAGGGACTTGCAGCGGCAACAATGGACAAGGAGTTCCAAGACCAAAGGCGAATGTCGAAAAGTCGGAATCGTCCCAAGCACGCACTGTACGGGGTCACTGCAGGCGGTAATGCCTTTGCTTCAAGTCTAGCCAGCGGTATCGGCGGCCTGGCAAGACATCCTCTTGAAGGAGCTGAGAAGGAAGGCGCCCTTGGTTTCGTCAAAGGTGTTGGCAAAGGGGTGCTTGGCCTAGCTACAAAGCCTGCAATTGGTGCCTTCGACCTGGCGTCCAATGTGGCTGAAGGTGTGCGAAACACCACCACGGTCTTTGATGCCGAGGGACTCGATCGAGTTCGGCTCACTCGTTTCATTGGCATGGATGGCATTGTTCGGCCATATTCCCAGCGTGAGGCCCTTGGACAATTCTGGCTCAAGACCTGCGACGATGGGAAATACTTCAACGAGGACTACATTGCACACTTGGAGCTCGAGGGCCGGGATATGATGGTCATGGTCACATATAACCGCATTCTCATGATCCGGACGAAGAAGCTCCGGATGGAGTGGGATGTCAAACTGACGGATGTGCAAACAATCAGCAAGGAGAGAACAGGCATAAGCATTGGACTCAAGGGAGGAGCGAACGGGCCATTCATTCCTGTCACTGACGAAGGCAGCCGGAACTGGCTATACAAGCAAATCGCCATTGGTAAGTACAATCCGCTGTTATTTGCTCAGCAGGCATGAGTTCTCCAGCTAACCTTACATGTAGCTGTGAATGCCTTCAATGACAAATATAACGCCAAAGGATGAAAGCCCCACGACAGAATTGATCGCTGAATTGATAGGATCCAAACTGATTATGAAGAAGCTTTCGTTGCCATGGCGAAATTGGTTGAAGCGTACACATGCAAGCATCCACGGTGCTGAATGCCGTGCCTGCTTAGTTTGATGACTTCTCGAGTCTTCATAAAGAGTCTCCTCTCTGTCCCCTGGGTGGTCCAAAAACATAAGATCGGGCAAAAACAATCGACAGTGAGGATTCGCAATTGGTCACCCACATTGCTACTAGCTGACCGGCATTGAGCTTAAGTGCCACTGAGCGGACGGGAAGTGCTGTTCTCTCAAATCCTATGGCCGATTGTGGAAGAGAATTGTGTACATAGGCATTACGTACTGTATGCAAACATAGAAAGTACGTTTTGGCTGCTCTGGACCCCCGAGTTCCTGTCTCTCGGAGCATGAAAGCATCACTCTGTCCAGTACGGCCATGTACCAACAGTTCAGTATTCATGTAGGCAAAAAGGTAGTAGTGTCCCTTAGCCATGGTCTGGATGATGCACCTCGAAGTCACCGTTGCCGCAACACAGTTGAGGCGCACAAAGGAGGGGTTGGTTCGCTCGCTGGAGATATCGCAGGTGGTGATAGAGGACGCAGGCAAGGACAGAAAACAAGGATGGGAAAGCTACCACTTGGGGTTGGCCATGAAAGGCTGAGAACGTACAGGAAGCCGCGGGGACTCGCTTCCACCGTGCGCCCACTCCGAGGACAGTAGTCGGGTAGATAATCAGCATAGATCACCACTGGCCTCGACTATTTTGGTGAACTTCTGCGTTCCAATCTCTTTCAAACAGCAGAAACAATTTATTGCCCACTCCCATACCTCGTCCGACTTACTGTAACGTCGCAGTCAACTTGAAGCACAAACACGGAGGCGGAGGGGACCTTCAGCCGGGCAACGGAACAAGGAGCCAGCGATGACCATTCGACTTCCATTGCGATGAGCTTGTAACGGTGCGGCATTTGGCGGTGAAACATTGTCACTGTAGGCATCTACCTGGTAGTGAGGGAACGCAAGGATCGGTTGAGAGTCGTGAATGGGTGAGGCTGCAAGGGTTCATGGAGAGACCGGCTGGTCTAGTGTGCGCCTCAATTGTTGGTAAATTTATGATCATGGTTCCGTTCAGCTGAAGTTGACCAGGGTGGGAGACAACCCCAAGCCATTACGCCAAATCATGCGGCGTCCTTCCCAGGAGGTTGTAAAAAGTGCTAATAATGGCGAGCTTGACTGTTCACAAACGCCTCCCAGAGTTCAGCTGTGACAACCCCCGTTATCTTTCCAGGATTTTGAAACAATATAACCCTGCCCCTCGCGCCGGAAAAGCTGAATGCCAGGATTTGCAAGACGCGCCTCGCCCCGCGGAAACGGGACGCCATGCCATCCCACGTACTAGTGAGGCGAGGATTGCGCTGAGGGGCTAGTCGACCAGGGCGTCCTATCCGACAATCCTTCTTCCTCCAGGCGACAGATCCGAAGTTTTGCTCGAGCCCAGCGGCAGCATTAGATCTGCGATCGCCGGGTTCGGTGGCAAAGTTCTCCGACGAGCTGGAAGTCTAGCTAGTTGTTCCCACGAAAGCAACGTTGAGCAATGAGTGGTGATCCCTCAGCGATCTGGTCATGAACGCAACTTCGATTGAGATCCGCAGTTTGACGAGTCCTTCCGAAGCTCTCTGTGGCTGCCTACGGATCCATATCAGGCTTACTATCGAAAAGCACTGGTGCACATGCCTCGCTGGAGCACATCACCTATAGCCTCTGTCAATCTGGGAGAGTCCGAACTCAGGTGACAAGGATTGAACCGCAATACCACTGGAGCCCGGCAGAGTGCTGGTGGTGGCGCTACCCAGTCTCATTCCCATCCCCAGGGTAGGCCAACACTCCATGGTTGCCCGTGTTGATTCCCAAGGGGCCCATGGGACTCGGACTGCCACCAAACGGTATGTACCCCAGCTTGTCCCAGCCCGCGCTGAGAATATGAGTGTCACCAGTTCATGGTGGTCAACATTCAGAGGCTGAGCGGACATGTCGACATTGTGGTGTGCTGGAGCAGTCTCCTACGACAGTCTCAGGGCAGGGCTGCACCAATGGTTTGGAGCGAGACCCTAGGCTCTCTATCCGATCCTGACATTGACAGGTCCGGTGCATGACTGCGGATGGTGCTCCTTTGCGCTGCAGGTCCTTTACGTATGTTGTTTTATGTCTGAGCACCGTATCTCCGCCTCCAGCCTTACGCCATCTGCAACTCATTTTGAGGCTTGCATGGAAATCGTGTCACCTCAAGAGAAATGAGAAAGGCTGGCATTATCAGGCACGAACAAGTGTGATTGATATGTTGAGCACCACGCTCTGACCTTGAATTGGTCTCCTCAACTTCTTTCCAGAACTGCCAGTTACAAGCTGCCGCTTACCACGCGAATCATCCACTGCCACGCGGCCGCACAGGACGCCAAACTTCATCAGACATCGACGTTGACGTTTAAGTTGAACTAAGCATAGGTACCATTCGGTTCCAGCCCCAGAGGGTTGCAATGGCTAATAGCATCAAAGTCGGAAAACATGTCCCTGGACATGTCCTTCGAAGACCATCATTATGTGGTCCTATTGGCAGTCTCTGCTTCATGTGCTTCCCTTCACCTTGCCAGCGACGTCTTCAACATCATGCAAGACCAGACATCGCTAAACGGAGATTTGCAGACACTTTGCGTGGCCTCTCTGCGCCTGGTGGCGTTTGTGGCCAGCATAATCCTCCTTGAACAGACTCACAATGGGCCTTGGATCGACTTCTGTATCCTTGCTTCTATACTCCTCCTGCTGGTCGGTGAGGTAAGAGGACCGAGAGCCCTGAAAAGAGATGCCGCTAAAGCCATATCAATAGTCGTTGACCCGAGCGAAGGTTACGCCAAAGACCTCTATTTTGAAGCACATTTCCGTGGTGGTGAACACTGTTGCAATCGGTGTAAGATTCTTTAGTGCCGCAGCCGGGTGAGTTTTCGAGGCCAACTCCTCTCACGTTGCAACTTGCACGACTTTTACCTGACACTGCGCAGTCTCGAAATGGGGACCTTCGCCATCTTCATTTTCGCCCACCTGTTCCTGGAGTATGGATATTCGCTGTTGTACTGTCTGTCGGGGACCAGTACGCAGCGCATATGGCTACATCGGTTCGACATGATTCGACTCAGTCTATGCTGTGCGACTATCGCCACCGCCCTAGTGGCAGTCTGCATCTGGGCACATTGGCGTCGCACAATCCTGGTGGTAAGGCTGTCCTGACAAAGGCCATGTAACCAAGTGTTGTCTGACGAATGCCTTTTTTTGTTCAGGTCACGGCCACTTCGTGCTCAATCTGCAGTCTGCCATTCTCCCAATGGATATCATTCTGCAGTAACCTGGGCCGGCCGACCGAGTTCGTGTGCGAGACTGCCGCAAGGCTGGAGAGCGCAAACACCTCACCGAAATCCAACGCTGGATGGAATCATCAGCGCCATCTTTCCAATTCCAACTCGGCCCAACAGCTCCGCACGGCTACATCATTCACCCACACCATTTCCCCAGAGCGACTTCGGCCTGCCAGATCGTTTGGTGAACCTACAATTCCCGGTGCATTGCAAGCCCCAAAGATGTCGAGAGAGATCCGAGCCTCCCCAGGATTTATGCCAATGACGGCGCTGCCACAGATGAACCGCACCTTGCGACCCTTTGACGCTGTCCCTCCCGCGCCAAGGAAACAGAAACAGCCAGTATACTGCAACGACGTGGTATATCCAGAGCATCAGCAGCCTCATGGCCCAGAACGGTGGTTGTGAGTACAAGTGCTCACCGCTGGGGCCCTTTGGCGACTGGTGCATACAGGAGGGCCCAGCCCAAGCGGCCAATCCAAGGAGGCTAGTCTCCGATGTATGAATGTAACGATGGTAGGATGATGAAGGGCGTTGGTCACTTATCTACCCGGTGGGCTTTACATCGGACTTTGCGAAAAATGGCAGCAGGCTTGCTGGGAAAAAGAATGCGGTTCTCGACTTTCATTTATGACAGCTTCTTGCTTTCTTTCCTCGGGTATGGAGGGGCTTCAAGAACGCTTTGTGCTATGTCAGGGTTCATGTGAGTATTCCCAGTCTGACAAACTGGGGATTGAGTATGAGCCTATGCTATGATTATTTACCCGTCAATCGTCGCTCCCTTCATGAGCTATTTAGGAGACTTGATATTCTTGTCACCAAATACTTCTTGTACTATTCAGGCTCGCAGTACAACTTAGTCTCCTGGGTCATAATGACGATCGTACTATCTGTCTCCAAATGACTACCTATCTCAGAGTCCAATGCTTGGCCTAATGCTAAGCTATATCTCGGGGGCCGTCATGGTAGTCACTATTACTACTTATCCCCTTCCAAAATGTCGGTAATGTGGATCTACTTAGCCAGGCAGCTGGGAGGTTTGGGCCTCCGTCACCGCCTGTCTACATTTGGGGAGGTGGGTTGTCGGCGTCGGAGATGGGAGAGGTCTGCTTGTTTTGCTCCCGGACCACGCATCGCATGTGGGTGCCTTGCAATGGTGGTGGGCTCTCTGTAAATTGCATCTGAGACAGCTCCTCTGGATCCCGAATGTTCTCCCAGGCGGATGGCATCGTGGTGACTTAACTGGAATTCGGACCTTGCTCCACTTCGATCGACTATGATCCCGCCGTCTCCCTCAGCTTCAGTGCATCTCTCCTGCTTGCTGCAGTACAGTACAGGCAGGGGGAAATCCACAGTTTACCCAGCCGCCAGGAAGAATGAGATAGACCAGGTTGAAGTCTTGAGGAGGCCATCTGTCCGGGCCCCTCGGTCGCCTCTAAGCGCCCGTCTACGAGGAAAGAGAATCTTATTGGCAAATCCATACTTTTGGATCAGGCGCCAGCAGCTGAGAGCCAATCCTTTGTTTTTCGGAGTGACCGATTTATGTCCAATAGCAAGTGGTCTCAACAAGGTTCTCTGGATGGAATTGAGAACGATGAGAGCTGGCACCACAACCACAACCACAACCAGACCCAGACCCAGACCCAGAACCAGAACCAGACCCAGAACCACTCACTGTTGGTTCATGGGTGTGCTGCACACCCATGTATGGCACACTGGCACGCTGGCACACTGGGACGCTGGCACTCTGGCACTGCATGCGAGAGAGAAAGAGGCTCCTTTCTTTTCGGTTGTAGCGAGGCGAGGGGGGCCGACGCGCGGGAAACTGTCTGTGTCTGGCCCTGGCAGTGGTCTGGCGGAACTACTGTGCTAGCGATCAAGTAGTGATCGAACACGAGTTATTGCGCCTCTCTCTCCCTTGCATGGAACGTACGAACAGGATGAGCAGAGCAATGCTGCCGTGTGCTGTACTCCAAGCCCGGTCCTTCCTCCTGCTGCTCCTGCAATGCAGTGCCAGCGGACATGGACACACCAGCACTGAGAGAAGCAACCCGACTCCAGGGGCCGTATGCAAGCCATTAGAGTTTATAGCTTCGCGATGGGCAGCGCTTCCCCGCCTTGAGGAGATCAGACCTATACCGGTTGGAGTACACTTCGTTTGGCGAGCGATATAGAGGGCACCGCTTCCCTCCTCCAAGTATCATAACCATACCGGTCCGAGTACGGCCCACCCTGCACCAGGACGTGCCGCACGGCGAGCTATTGAATGAGAATGCTGGCAATAACACTGCCGACATGCACCCTTGCTTGAGTCCGGTTGCTGTCTGCAGCGCCGAGAGCGCCTGCAAAGCCACCTCAATCCTGGTCAAGAGCAGCAGGATGGCTGCATCACTGAACTGAGGAATGAGACAGTGTCATCCTCATTCGATAATGTCTGCCCGGACGAATCATTGCTGCAGCAATGCTGCAGTCAATGCCTAGGTGCCCAATGGTCTCTGCATCATATCCGTAAGCGAGGCCTCTGGCGTCCAGCACACCACTTTACATCCGTGAACAGCACATTGTCCGGTGAGTGGGTGGCTGCGGTCGCTCCATCGACCATTCCCACGACCTGAAGGAGTAAGGCATGCATATTGGTCGAGCCCCCCAAATGCTCGCCTATATCTAGCTGTTGGGCCTTTTGAAAAGCAGTCTTGCCTCAGCAGTTGTTCTTCCTCTTTTTCATTCTCAAAAGAAAAGAAACCTCATATCCCTAGCTGCTTTCCATTACATTTGATTTCTTGACCCACGGTAACTACACCATTGTAGCCGTTCTTTGTCCAAGTGGGTCCTTACATATTTCTCTTGAGCCACCAGAAGTACATCCAATCTTCGTCAGCTCCCCAGCCATGCCCCCAAGGACGAGGAGAATCGTGTGGACTGAGACGAACATGAAACTCCTGATTGGGGCCATGCCTATGGTTGAACACTTTGACCCGCGCCCTGACGAGCCGCCCGAGGCAATGCTACCTGTGCCGGCTGGGCCTCCGGAAGGGGAGGCCGCACAGGGAACGCGTGCCACCGCCCAACCCACTAATCCTGGCAACGACCATGAGTTGGAGCACAATCATGCTGCGCCAGCTGATCAAGGCCAAGCTGTGGACTGGCTTGACGTCCCTGGGCAGAGGGAGGTCTTGCAAGCGTTCTTTCGTGTCAGCAAGCATTTACCTCCAACAGGGGCAGCTTACGACCGCGACGAGGCTATGACCTACCAGAGAATCTTGCGATGGGCTGGGGCCATTCCAGCGGCCGCTTCACCGCAAAGAAACATTGTCCCGTGGTTGAGGAGCTTCTCTTCCGTGCAAATCCAAATATGTAATGCTACAGGGGAGTTGTTTGTGATGGTCGACCTGGAGCTGGCTTTATTCTTGGCAGATCGAGCGGAGCCATATATGGCTCCTTTGGCTCAAGTCTTGCACGACTTTGCCAGGTGGCGATACATGGATCCAGCCACGGCGGAGAGATATCTCCCTGAGTGGGAGTATCTTGTTCTAACGATGCGCGAGAAGGTTGCGACAGTGGAATCTGAGGGATATCTCGGCGATCGTTTGGCGCTGGAGGCCGCATGCATCGGGAATCTGCTCTTGAATGTCTTCCAAGACCTGGACATGAATATCTGCGGCATCACAAAGGCTGGCATAATCATTCAGTGGGAGGGTCCTGCCACGGTGACCTTGTTCCCAGTCAACGTTTGGTTCCTGGAATACGCCACTGGAGATGTCTTCAGACTTACAATGAAGGCGCCTTTTAAGCTGCATCACATGCCTGTCGCATTTGCCCTCAATGGCACCATGGCATTTCAGGAGGTCGAGCAAGGTCCGAATATCTTGCAATTGATTCGCGGCCCTGCTGATGATCACGGTTTGGACAGTGAGTTGGAGGGGCACTCCGAACATGATTCTGAAATGGAACATGACTCTGAACGTGAGCATGAAGTTGAGACGGATATGGGGCGATTGTCCATCCTGTAGTTGCGTGTTGCTTTCTTTGTGAAAAATGATGTGATCGTCGTCAGTTTTGTCAAGTATCCGGCGTTGTTGGGAGATAGGAAGGCGGCGGAGGAAGGCGGCGGAGGCAGGCGGAGGAACCTTTCTAGGGACCAAGCGTATCGTTCTGCTATTTTAATCAACCTGACGCGTACCCCATGATGTCCAGAGTGGCAATAGGTGCTACCAAGTCGAAGTACACCCGTGGGCTAATGATGTAGCAAACATGTTGTGCTTCAGACAAGGACCTGTTCGTCTTGTTCGAGAACGTTGACCGAAAGCTTAGAGTTGGTAAGGCCCCGACAAAGTTCAACCCTGCCTCGGGGGAATGACGGACCGTCGTGAATTGTTAGTTTAGCCGCCGTGTCGACCCATCACGTTGAATGCACGAGTGATTGATGAGCAGCCTCGACCTGGTGCCCTGTAGTAACATGAAGCAATTAGACGTGATAAGTAGAGCGGCAAGTACACTGTCAACCTTCAATAGTGTGATATCAATGAAAAGGCTTCCGGGGTCTCAGGAGTGTACTTCAAATGTTTTCGGCGTCGTTGAGTCACAGAGCCGCCAGCCTGGGAAAAGACATTCTCCTGACGTCCATGATGGATTTACTCGTAAGCCTGCCGGAAGACAGTACAAACGTTGAAAGAAAAGCCCCTGAAGTGTCCGGTTGCTATCGTTATTGACTTCCATGGCCATAGCCGTGGGCTCCTTTGTTGTGTTGTTGGACTTGACATTGTGGGAGGGGCATCAGAGACGGCGGAGCATCATGGTGACACCCGTAAGCGACGCACGTGGGAGGTTTCTTCGAAAGCATCGGAGCTCCTTGCGCGTAGGCTGCTTGTTGCGATGGGAGGCTTGCTGTTACCGTCAGGATGCTATGTACTTGGGTTGACGGGACTATTGGTATGCGTGAGGCAGTCGGTGCCCTTGGACCCGCTCAATCTTTATCAAGTTCTGTGGTTCAAGCGCGCCTCCACACTATACAGTGTACATTCCCTGAACTCTTGTGCAGCGCCTAACTGAGATGCATCTCATCTGAACTTCGAGTCAGTCAGGGAGACGGCCACACACTGAGTTGGATAGCCACGGACAAGACAGCGTCGCCATTGGTGCTTGTGTGGGGCAGGGAATCGCGAGTGGCAGAGGGAGTCGTTGGCGAAGCTGTGCGAATGGTGGTAACAGACACGTGAATGGGCCTCCTCGCGCAGGCGGCCCACGCTGAAACGATCGACCACTATGATAAAGGGTCGGACTCTGCACCAATCCTGCCACAGCGTTGTCGAGGGAATTGTAGATCCAGTGCTGGTAAGATTGGGGTTAACTGTCAGCCTGGGGGTTGCCTAGGGCATTCAGCAGTTGATTCGGGTCACATGGCGAGATACTTTCGTGACATGTTGGCCTGATAGTCCGGTTTGCCATGCACGGGCTGGTGCTACCATTAGCCATGGGGCACTGCATTCGACAACAAAATAATGGTAGTCGTGAAGGGAGATGTGGCTCCAAAGAAAGATGGAAAAGTGCCAGTTTGGCGAAGCGACTGTCAGAACAAGTTAGCGCAACACAAGTACGTTGCGTGTTTGGAGCAGCGTGAGATGACGTGCTGCTAAGGCCCTGTTGGGTCAAGTCAATTCAGGGGCAGCTCGGTGGCTCCAAGCTTGACATTTCGTTGACCTCAACTTGAACTTCTTCTTGCCTTCAAGTTCAGTGCAGGTGCAAGACGCCGACGACCACATTCACCCCCCCGACAACAGCGACAGGTAAGTTACTGCCTCTTGCATACCATGGCTACCTTGCTTCATACGCCGTATCCTCAGTCGCATCCGTCCAGGGTTACACAACGCTCGGGTTGCCACATGGGCACTAGTAAGGGGCCCTCATGGCCCGTCCACGGTCGCAAAGAGACGGTGCGCACCGAAAGCGCGTGAACTCTGGCTACGGCGTTGTTCGCTTGGAGTTGCTCGCCCGGAGGTTGCCGGCCGTTTCGTATCGCAACCGTTGCGCAACGTCTTTTTGCTCCAGCATCCGGACGCTCGGATTTCGGGAACTGCCCAAGTTTGATGTTTTGTCATTCAACACCAGCCTGTCAAAGCCCCCTTCCCTTTCGGATTCTCGGCGAGTTCGGTCGGCTATTGGTATGAGACCCCTGGAATGGAATTGAGTTTTCGGAAGTGTGCGGCTCCCAGAAACCTTCATTTAACTTCAACGCCCGTGCCGTCAAACGCCCCAATGAGATTTGAAGGGGTCACGCCAACGTTGATATGGCAGATGGCCAGGGCAGAAAGCCTTCTTCGACATCAGCAGGGGCTCATCTCTTATGACATAAGGCTATATGCTTTGGTATGCATGGCTATTCCTATAGGGGATTACCCTCTCTGGTGGTTGAGGCCTTGGTATCTTGGTATATCGCCGGTGTCGTTGTTACCTCGCTGGCGTTATTGCTGATATCGAACTTCAGGTGACCGGACTTCAAGCGAGGGTCCGTCAGTTCAAACAATGTGAGCTACAATGCCGGATCAACAGAGATCAATCTCGCTTGTGTCAGCCCCGTCCTCCCTGACTACTGAATAGTAGGTTTCTGTGTCTCCTGTATAATAAGTCTGGCTGGATGACAATGTTTCTGTTCTCCATGCCTTTTCCTATCGCCCAACGTGATAGTGCCCATTCGCCATGAGCGCGCTGAGACTGCCACTGGTGTGGCTTGTGATTCTGCTTGAATGCGTTCTTTCCCAGGGAGCTGATCTGAAGCCACGATGGGGATGGGATGCTGTTCAGCCGTTGGCAACAATCACCCCATGTCCTGCTGCGCCGGTTTCTCTCGCACCACCGCCCGTCACGGTCACTGAGCAGTACCAACCTGTGTCGACATGCAAGACTCAAACGGCCTGCATCAAGCGAAAGTGCACGACCAAATACCAATATCACACCTATGAATACGTCTCCACCGTGATTCCTTGCCTAGACGGTGCATCCGCCACTACAGTAACTGAGACCCAGCAGCCTGTTTTGATCTCCAGGTCTTCAGAGATCATCAGAAACACGCGACCGATCACCAAGATTGTGCATGGCAATGCTACCGCTACCACTGCGGTGATTGATGCCACCACCATTGTCAAGGAGTGGAGTGCGCCCTTCAAGGACATCGGCCCTCTAGCTCTTCCCAATTACGAAGGAAGCGGCCTTTGCAAGTCCTGCAAAGGGCCAAAAGGGGCGAAACGACAAGTGCTCGACGTTATTGAGTGTACCCGCCGTCATCGACGTGGCACCATTTGTCGCAAGAACAGTGAGACCTGGCTTTACAACCCAGCTCCGACCTCGGCCTCGGCGCTGTCGGCTGTGTGCTCGCTTCAGACGAGTGTGGCTGCTGGTACTTACACTTTCGCCTTCCCTCAACGCGCCCCTCCGGCGACGATCCGCGTCCCCCAGCGGATCGTCACGTACACTGTTGGTGAGATCCGGCCCAGTACGGTGACGACAACAATCACAGAGACAGTCACCACGGTCCCCGAGCGCGAATGGACCGCTTGGATCACTCGATCATGTGCACGGCCAACCAAGTTCGAGTTCGAGGTAACGGTGACCACCACTGTTGTATATACAGTCCCTCCATTCGTGGTCCCAGGGCCAAGGCCAACGTCTGTTCCCGTTCCGTCCGGGTGGCAAGATTGGACGGTCTCGTCAACTGTCTCTGCCACCCTGACTTCCTCATCGGTATCAGCAAGCTCTTCGTCCGCGACCTCTTCTCTTACTGCTTCCGATTCGCCCGTTGGATATTCCACCTCGACGACGAGTAGCACGTTCCTTACATCACAATCATCCAGTTGGACAACTCCCACGACTGCATCAACGTCCAGTTCCTCGACTACCTCCAACTCGGGCTTGGGGCCTATCCAAGGAAGCACCTCGACAACTGGAAGTGAGACGTCAGCAACCACATTCGGTACTTCAACCACTGCCTCCAACTCGAGCTTAGGACCTATCCAGGGGAGTACTACCACAACCGCAAGCGGAACGTCAATGACTACAATTACTAGTAGTACTTCATCCACAACCTCCAACTCAGGCTTAGGTCCTATCCAAGGAAGTACTTCGACAACCGAGAGTGGAACCTCGACAACTACAGTTGTTACCTCGGCCACCCTTTCCACATCCACAAGCAGTTCGACCAATATTTCGAGTTCCTCGAACAACCCTTCAACTAGCACGTCCTTGACTAGTGCATCCACGACCAGCACCGAGTCTCCTAGCAGCTTCTCGACCGGTATCTCGTCGACCAGCAGTACCTTCACTAGTACTGCGTCAATGAGCACCGCTTCGACGAGCACCCTGTCGACCAGTGTGACTTCAACGATCAGTTCTTCGTCTGTGCCGACCACCACTACTGAAACCACCACAGGACAGACTACTGCACCCATCTCGCAGTCCACGAGCTCTCCAGCACCTTCTGTGACCTCTGCTTCGTCTGCATCCTCGGCAACATCTGCGTCTTCAGCAACCTCTGCGTCTTCCGCCTCGTCTGCATCATCTGCAACATCCGCGTCTTCCGCATCTTCTGCGTCTTCCGCATCGTCCGCAACCTCAGCATCTTCGGCCACGTCTGCATCTTCGGCCACGTCTGCATCGTCTGCATCTTCCGCGTCGTCCGCAACCTCAGCATCTTCGGCCACATCTGCATCTTCGGCCACATCTCTAACGTCAGCATCATCGGCCACATCTGCATCGTCTGCATCTTCCGCAACGTCCGCAACATCTGCAACGTCTGCGTCTTCAGCGTCTTCAGCATCTTCTTCCAGCGCCTCTAGCTTTACTACCACCATCATCAGTAGTGCTACGACGAGCTCGAGCGCATCGGTCACAACAACACCTGCCGCGGCACCCAGTGGATTCCTGATCCAGGTCGCAGGAGCAAGTTCGACTCGACGTCGTAAACGCCAAGCAACGAATCTCTGGATCGGATTTGATCAAAGAGACATAGCTGTCCTGGTGGACACGAAAGACACTGCTGCTTACTTTATTGCGGCGGGAGATCACACTCCAATGATGTCGGATGGTAAATACGTCGGCGCTGATAGTAACTCTTCATTCGCAGCATTGATCCGGTCACCTACATTGCCCGACGCCTTCAATGCGTGGTCATTTTCTGACAACAATGTTACCCAGCTGGATGGTGGAGTCTCCTTTTGCTCTGAGGGCGGCGTGGTCGTCATCTTGTTGCCAGGGGACAGATGCGCTACTCCTGTCGCGTTGATTCAAACTGGTAAGTGGTCTACCTCCGTGACTCTAGTGTTGTGTATGTCGTTAACCTATCTGTGCAGACGTACAACCGATTGTTAGCTCCACAACATCTACAACATCCACAGCCAGCACAACTACAACCACTCCTGTCACAACCACCGAATCAACCACGACTGAGCCCCCCGGCTCCACGCTTACTACTACCTCTCCGAGTCCGAGCAGCCCGATCAGCAGCGTGGCGACCAGTACGATAACCACCGAGAGTTCCACTTCCGTGAGCTTAACCACATCTGTGGCGACGACAACTACTGCAGGCGAAACAACGACGAGCGCCGAACCTACAACAACCTCCGTAGTGACCACCACGACCACGACGGAGGAGCCTACAGCTACCACGTCGGAGTCGACCATTACCACTACATCGGAACTGACTACCACCACTACCTCAACAACCACGACGGAGGAGACTACTACCATTACAACATTGTCAACCAATACTACGCCAGGGACAACGACAACAACAGAAGAACCAACCACGACTACTACCACCACCACCACAACCACCAGCAGCGAGGAAACTACCACCACCACGCCGTTACTGACAAGTACTACAGCAGCTGTAACGACAACAACAGAAGTGTCATCTACCACCACTACAGAAATGACAACGACGACTACGGAGATGCCTTCTACCACCACTACCACTACGACAGTAGAGACAACCACAACCACAGAAGTCCCTACTACCACCACTACGGAAGGGACAACAACGACAACTGAGGTGCCAACAACCACCACCAGTACTTCTACTATCAGCAGCACTACGAGCACTCTCACCACTACCGTTGAGCCAACAACGACCACTACCAGTGAGGTGACCACTACTACTCCTGCGGTAACAACTACTACCACTACTCCTCCCGCAACCACCACCACCACTGAGGTGACCACCACCACTACTCCTGAGGTGACCACGACTACTACTTCTGAGGTGACCACGACTACTGCTCCAACAACGACAACCACTGAAGTGACTACTACTGCGACTACTACTCCTGAGGTAACCCCTATTACCACCACAACTTCTGAGGTAACAACTACTACTTCCAGTACTCTTACCACTACCCCTGAAACAACCATTACCACTACTGCAGTGGTGACCACTACTACTACCACTCCCGAGGCAACAACAACAACCACCACTGAGGTGACCACTACTACTACTGCTGAAGTAACAACTCAGACTTCTCCGACAACAACCACCACTACTGAGGTGACTACCACTACTGCTCCAACCACGACAACGAGTGAGGTAACAACTACTACTACCGCTGAGGCAACTACCACTACCAGTGAGGTGGCCACCACCACCACTAGTAGTGAGGCAACAACCACTACTTCCAGTACTCTCACCACTACCGTTGAATCAACCACTACTACCAGCGAGACGACAACCACTACTACCGCTGAGGTGACCACTACAACAAGTGAGATGACCAGCACTACTTCCAGTGAGGTGACGACCACCACCTCTAGTACTTTCACCACTACCGTTGAGGCAACCACTACTACCAGCGAGGTATC